GTCCTGAACATTCTATGGTCTTGAATTTTTGGTGACAGATAGCTTTTCCTGTCAGGAATAAATGGTGTGGGTTTGGTCCCCCTAGCAGCTTGTTCAGGAACTGCAGGGGACTTTCGGGCGAAATCTTTGAAAGCCATTAAGTCCAGATAGGAACAGCGTATTTTCATCATTTTTGGTGTGTAGGTATCTGACAGAGAGATGTACATAATTAACTGCAAATTATGCAAATGAGGTCTTTATTTGCATAATTAATGAGGAAATTCTATAATTACAGTGTTTTACATTATAGAACTTTCATACATGTTATGTATGTAACCTATGGCAGATGGAACATCAACAGATACTAATTATGCAAATGGTGACCTAATTTGCATAATTAATGCAAAAAATCTATGATTTCTCAATGGTGAATGATGGGAATGTCATACTTGGGACATCTTTAAGTTAATCAAAAGTTAACATCACGATGCATATATTATGTTAATGCAGAGGTCATTTGCATAATTAAAGAAGAAATTTACATTTAGATATCAAGCCCATATTTCATGGAGGTATGAGATCTCGGAACTCTTGTTGCTGTTGTACTTTGCACTGTCCACTATGTCCACATACCGACATACAATATATTAAAGTACATTGTGTATGTATGATTTTCGTGATTGTACAGTACATTCCTATCCATGTACCTAAAGGCATTTCATTTGTGTGGAACTATAAAGGTTAAGTGTAGTGACTTGAGTTCTGCCTTTAGTCTGCTTGTATCTGTGACATCAGTGAAAGTAGACACCAAAAGTTTCAAAACTGTGCTCTTCACAACCTAAGATGCAAGGACACATGCCAGCTGTAAACAGTTGAGTCACTGAACTGCATTACTACCTTGCATGTAGAGCCTGAGATACTAGTTTTAGTAACTGACTAGTCTGTTGCCACTATACTAAATATATAGCACTATATAATGTACATGTACATGCTACATGTATTTAACAAAAAGCATCACTAATAATCATGAAGTATGGATTAAACTTGAGAGGGACTCTTGTCATGTTGGGAGGGATGCACGCTGTGGTGTGTTAGTAGTTCCATCCCCTGGGATCTCCCATGGCCAGTAGGTGTTAGGTATTGTGTGGAGGGATGCACGCTGTGGTGTGTTACAGGTTCCCTCTCCTGGGATCTCCCATGGCCAGTAGGTGTTAGGTAGTGTGAGGGGGAGGGATGCACGCCTTAGTGTGTTATGGGTTCCCTCCCCTGGGATCTCCCATGGCCAATAGGTGTTTGGCAATGTTAGATCTAAAGAACCTTGGCAAGGTGTGTTTTGAGATCTCTCCCCTGATGCCACCTGCAACCAGTTGGTGTAAAGCTTTCTGTATGTAGCAACACAATGGTGCCTGTCTTCCCTAGACACGCTATATATTCCAAGAAGCCTGCCAGCTGACTGGTTGCTGTGTGAACTAGCAACACTGTTGTGCAGATATGTCCCTTGGTTCTGTCTAGTCAATGTGACTGTAGGAAGTGATGGCTCTGCTACTGCACTGTAGAAACGAATAGGTTCATCATCAAGACTACCTGAGATGGGACAATATGTGGGGTTCTCAGAATGGAGAAAAGCACATCTCCGAGCAGCAGCTAGATGATCTGGGATCTGTGAGTAAGTGTGTGGGAGTGTAGGCAGAGGTCTCTGAGCAGCAGCTAGATGATCTGGGATCTCCCAATAAGTGTGTGGGAGGGCAGGCAGAGGTCTCTGAGCAGCAGCTAGATGATCTGGGATCTCCCAATAAGTGTGTGGGAGGGCAGGCAGATACTCCTGAGAACCAGGGTCTGGGCAGTTTATAGACCTACTGGTAACAGTTTGGAGGGCTGCAGGCAATGACCTACAGGAGATAAGACCTGGAGTGGAATGTAAATTGTTATCCTGTGCACCTTTGTTTCTAATCTTTGGTAGGCACTTCCTCAAGATGATAACTACAAGGAGTAAGAACAGAATCCCCACTGTGGAGACAACCACTCGTGTGACGAGAGACCCTGGTGATGTGTTCTGCTCAGGATCGGCCTGCAATGTAGACAATGATGCCATCTGGTGATTTCCAAGAGTCGATGTGCGACCTTCTTTTGTTGTTTGTGGACTGGTTTCAGGATTGGATGTCGGAAAGTTTGCTTGGTCTGTCTCTGTGTCACCTCTGTACACAGGACATGCATTGTGGGCCTTCACTGGGGTTTTAGGAATGTTGAAGGAAACTGGTTGGTTATATTTGGAGAGCAGAACGCAGGTTACCTGCTGTGTACTAGTGGGTGTCTGAGTGTGTTCTGAATGTGTCGTACGGACTGCCTGTGTTTCTGGTGTGTCATCAACCCGTATGGCGACGTCTGCCGTGGTTGCATTCCCCACACCCATAGAAACCAGCTGTAAGGTGCAGTTTCCAGGCTTCAGGGTTACTGTAATGCCCAGGTTGTGTTCCCACACCTGCCTGCACTTCTCTTGGTAGTAACTCACCTTTTTCTCAGGGTTACCACTGGTCGCAATGACAACAAAAGGTGGCTGGTTGGTGATGCTGCTCACCGAACTATCCACCAAATGCATAGAATAACATACATTTGTCCCATCATGCTTTTGTGTGGGGCGAGGCACTATCTTCACTGAGTCAAACTTCCAGTGAAGCTCTAGCAACTTTTTATTTCTCCAGTTGTTATTTTTGACACAGAGGAAGAAGTTTGGAACCTCAATAGATATGAGTTTGTATTGGATACCAACATCACCATAGATGTCAAGGCTCCATCTCATTCTATGTGGCATTTCATCATGTACTGTTACCAACCTGTCCCCACTGACATAGAATATAGACCACCCCTGTAGTCCCCCTGTTACCCCCCTATCCAGACAAGACAGAGCATTGTTTTGCAGGTAGAAGTCATTGATTTGCCTGTCTCCCAATGAGCTTGGGGGAAGGTGTTTAATGTCATTGCCCCCCAAGTTCAAGTACATTAAGTGCTTAGGGCTGTTTGGGACAAGTGGCCAGGCAGAGTCTACAACCTGCAACTTGTTGTTTTCTAAGTTTAGCCAAGCAAGTTGAGTCATATTCCTGAAACACCCTGGGTCAATCTTTGCTATTCTGTTATTGGACAAGGTCAGAAAACTGATCCTTCTCAAGCCAGTGAACCAACTCACTTTGACATGTGTCAGCCTGTTGAAATCCAGGCCCAACCTGTACAGGTTTGAAAACCCACTGAAGACATTTTCCTCCATTTCTGCAATGTCATCATCCATCAGGACCAATTGTCTTACTGTAGAAGCCATAAAGGCTGACAGTTTCCTTGCCGATAGAACACCAATTGGATGGCCTCTTATTGCAAATTGTGTTTGCATGTCAAGCAAGCAAGATACAGTAGGGGCAGGAGTATTACTGACAGTAGTATTGCCATTACATAAGATACATGTGCCTAGCCGGAACTCTAAAGGTATAATCATCGTCTCATGCACACAATTGGACCAAGGAGCTCTCTTACACTGAGGGAAGCAGAGGCTAGCTGAAGCTGTGCAAGCGGTCAAATAAAGTACCAAATAAGATAGCATGATTATAGGAGTTCCCTTTCTACATCTTTCTGACACTACTACGTGTAGGTTTCTATCATACCGGTATTGCATCAAGCAGTCTTTATTCTCTTATTACAATGTACATCATCATCGAAAGTGGTTGTGTCTGGCTATGCTCCCGGACATGGGTTTGATTCTTTGCATTCCTGGTTTAACAATGGTCCTTTGAAAAGGCACAATTTTCTTTACTCCAACCTGGTGTACAATGAGTACTTTACTTCAGTTTGGGAAGTTACTTACAAATTTCCCTAGACACGGTAAGTCAATAACTCGCTGCCCCTACGTAACCTCGAAGGTTATGGTTATGAGAAAGGTTAAGTCTTAAGAAACAAGTTTATTGGTAGGATTGTTACTATGTGTTCATGGCAGGCACTAGATGCTACATAATGGTGAAAGTAGTCAGTCAAATGCTCAATTGTCACTTTTGTGCAGTCTTGCACCCAACCTTGAGATATGAATACTATTGGTAGTAATTTTTCACAATCTTAAACAAGGAATTCAGGATAACATGCTACATACATGTAGTATTAAAGCGGCCAATTATTTACGAAAAATTTACCAACAACCAGCGTGCAAAATACCTGGTTGCCCAGTTGCCCCGGGCAACCAAAGTTTACTTGGGGCAACCTACATGTATTTTTGAACCTAGGTAGCCCAGTGTGCTACTTGAACTTTAAGAATGCCCCCCCCCCAATCATGCCCACTTGGCTTGCACCAAAGCAGATGCTTTTTAATTTTAGGTATTAATGGCTATTATGAGTATCAGTTAACTAAACACAAGCTGAACACAAAGCCTCCCCAGTCTACCCAAATCAAGAGAATGGATTGACAATTTTGAGCTGGCAAAACCTGAGCTCTAATCTACTAACCTGATTTGTCTAAATGCCAGACTCTTTGTGCTCTGAACACTCTTCTGCCGTAAAGATGCTCCACATTGGTAGATGATGTGTTTTCTCTGCATTTGTTGGTAGCTGCTTTGACCACACTGCTTATAATTCCTGGACATATGGCTGTATTTTGTGTTTTGATATACACTCAATTCCCTAAGGCTGTGGGGAACTTCTTCCTGACAGTCAGACTAATTTCCATCAGCCACTGCTCAGCCTAATGGGTAGATGCAAGGAACTGGCACACTGTGATTTACGTCATCACCCTTGCAGACTCTAGGAAGAACAGTGTGCAATAATATGACTAATACTAGAGATCCTAATAAACAAACATGAATTGAATAACAATTGGGTCAGTTTTAAACTATTAAATTAGTGTACATGTATCTTAATGTGATAAACGATACCTACCCCCCCCCGGTAGCTAGGACATTTTTGTTATGTGAGATCTGAAGGAGCTGGTGAGAAGTGTTGACTGATGATTATACCCAATTAACTTGTTAACTTATTAATGTTTTTACCTTCAGAAAAATGCTGCTTGTCGATACCTTGCTGCAAGATGCCATGTAAGTCCATTTGTTTTCTGCTCCAATCATTCAGTCCACTTTTAATTTCATTCTGAATCAAACTAGAAAGTTATTTCGCTGACATAGAGTTTTGAAGAGGTTGCTTGGGGTCAGCAAGAACCAATTTTGTTTTACTTCAAGGTAAAGATATTAAGTAAGATTTGACTGTTGCAGGTACAGGTATGCAGAAAAAGTATTTTGAGTTGTATATTGTATATTTGAGCAAATGCCAGAAGTGACAGATGTGATTTTGGGTGTTTGACAGGCAGAGGTACGAGAATGGCAACAGGCGCTCCACATCCTGGACAAGGTGGACCTGGAGGCGCAGGTGGGGCCGCAGGTACGGCAAGAAGACGGGAAGGACGACAAGCTGCAGTTTGACTGTGGGATCCCCCAGCACAGGGTACGTCTGGGTGATATCTAAACAACCAACACATGTACATGTAGTCGGGAATCACTAGACTAAGTGTGGCCTCACAATTGCACAAATTTTGTTCTGTTCTTACACACTTTGCTGTTTTGTATGTTCATTTTCACGCCACCCACTGGCTGCACTGGACCTGCACCTTGGGCGTGATGCCCGGTAGAGGGCTTGCTCAGTATTTATAGGATAGGATAGGTAGATGTTACATAATTTCAATCAGGTATTACATCACATCCTGAATTCCTCCACACACAGCCCTCCTACTCCCACCTGTTGATGCTGGTCACCTTCAGGCATGACCTCCCTTTTGATGTTCATGTACTGTCAAAATCATCACCCACCACGCAAACAAAGCTATTAGACACAACCCCAGAACTCAGCCACCCAAAAAAATACAATACAGTACTAGTACTTGCACAATGTACTTGGTTACGTCAACACAATCAACTAAGGAAATACCACGAATGCTGACAGAAACACTTCCCTCACTTTTTTTTTGCTGGGTTATGATTTACAGATAGAGAGCTCCATCGCGCTGATGCGAGGTAAGATTTTCGAGTCCCTTGACAACCGTGACCAGGCGACGGAGTCCTACCGGACAGCGCTGAAACTGGACGTGTACTGCGAGGAAGCCTTCCAGCTCCTGGTGTCCCACCACATGCTGACTGCTCAGGAGGGTGGGTTTTACATGTGGTTGTGGATATCAATTTTTTAAAACTTTTCTATCTGTCAGACTATTCTTTGTAATGAGGGACTGAACTGAACTCTGGAGAGCTTACAATTGGGGATGAATTGCAAGTGTCTGGACTTGGCTCCTATATATATATCCAGGGCTAACAATACAAATGGCTGTAGTCTGTAGGACTGTATGGTTCTGAACCACTCACAATAAAAAGGACCCATGCTAATTTCCATTGCCTCTCCTCAAACTCAGGACCTCTGGCTTTACGTCCCATCCAAAAGGTCATCCCTAACCAAAGCTAGGCAGTCATTTTCACCTGAGTGGAGGAATAAAATTGGTTTTAACTGCCTTTCCCGATGGCAGAGCATTGGAGCCTGCTGGGGATTTGAACCCAGAACCTTAAGATTCAACAGCTCTAACCACAATCACCTTGCCACCTTTCAGAGCGTGAGCTGGTTGAGTCCCTGCCCTTTGCCAAGCAGTGTCCAGAAGAAGAAGTGGAGTTGGTTCGACTGCTGTATGAAACCAAGCTGAAGAAGGTTTGTGTGCACAAGTGTTCCCTACATTTGGGCTTGGTCACATACATCAAGTGATCGTTGTACGACATGTGAGGATATTTCCGTAGAATGAGTCATGCACATGTGGAGCAAAATTCAGATGTTTTGTTACCACAAAATGCTGTCTTTGTCAGCAATGAAACCTTAGAAGAATGCTGTTTTGATCGGTTTCAACTTCATTCATCTTCAAAGTTTCTACAGATTGGTACTACACATCCTTATGTACTTCTCATTGGTTGTTTGATATATCTAATTAGCAGGGCAGCCAATCAGCTCTTAGGGTGTCGGCCTGTCAGCCAATCATCATTCAAGATGTCAATGTACCATATCATTGTCACACCTCTTACAGTATGACAAGCCCAGAGAACTGGAGATCCCGACCAGTTTAGACCCGCTACATGAGAACCTTGACGTGGTAGTGAACCAGGCGGAGAGAAACTACTACAACTGTAACTTCAGAACTGCCTACAAAATTACTTCGAAGTGAGTTCAATTCGTCCAGCAAAATGTTGTCATGATTGATGTAGTTAATCAAAGGTAATCAAAGATGTCACAGACATTTGTAACACCGTCTTCTGAAACAGCACAAAAGACATTGTGTTTAGTGGAATTTTGAAAGTGTCTAGTGGAATTTTGAAAGTTTTCTAGATGCTACAGGGCATATATTTGGCTTTGATACTTCACTGAGAAGAACACTTAATAATTTACACATTGTAACACCTCTTAACTGGTGACACTGTTAGGGTTTTGTATTGCCCTGACAGTAATGTTGGTTACCTGTAGATTTATACAGTGTTATCTTGCACTGTTCCATGAAGTATCTTTTTGTCTTTTTTTGGAATGTACATGACGTGTTTCATGCTTTTGCATACATGTACGTGTAGATATTTCTGTGAAAGCAGTTGCATAACCTGTTCTGCTTTTTTTGCATCCTTTTTTCAGAGTGTTGCAACAGGATCCCTACCATAACACATGTCTTCCACTGCACATAGCCTGCCTCACCGAGCTCAAGAAAACAACAGGTGAACATCTCAAACATGTATTAAACATGTACACTCTGCAAAAAACTCCCAATAATTAAGCTTCGAAACACTTAAAGTTTGAAATCTCTGATTTCTTGTTTTCCCTGATCTATCTTGTTGTTTCAGAGTTGTTTTACCTTGGGCACAAGTTAGTGGACCTGTATCCTAATGACCCTGTGAGTACTGGTCATACTTGTATTTCATATTCATAATGTTTATCATGCAATCATTTCTTCCATAGAATATTTGTTATGCAGTCCCCATAGTAATTCCTAGGAGGCGTTCATGCTCTATGGTAAAGAACCACTTTGTGTTTGAAGTAATGTTCCATCTGTTCTGTGCCATATTTTTCCAGGTGGCTTGGTTTGCTGTAGGTTGTTACTATCTGACAGTGGGAGGGAAACATGACGTGGCCAGGAGATATCTCACGTAAGAGTCACATTCATAGCTGTGTCAGCCTGTGTGTTATTACAGAGCTGAACAATGTTAACTGTTAGTGTTAGAATTCTCCTATAAAGTCACCCTCACTGTAAAATGTCAGACTCAAAGGTCACTGTACTTGTATTTGATTTTTTAATTTTTTGTTAATTCTGGGTGCAGAAGTTTCAGGTGTCTCTCTGTCCTAATTGTTTTCGTTTCATGGTGGGTGGGAGGTGATTTTTGGCTACAGTAATAAGTTCCACAGTAAGATTAGACCCTTGCGACAGTTTCACAACTGTGTGGAACAAATATGTTATATGTATTATGTGATTGTAAACCCTGCATCATACAGCACTATTAAAAGCTGCAATTGCATGGGTAATGTTTGACCAATAAACCATTTATTTTCAATCTCTTGTCCCACAGAAAATCCACCACCCTGAACAGAATGTTTGGTCCTGCCTGGCTGGCGTTTGGACACTCCTTCGCAGAAGAGGCAGAACACGATCAGGCCATGGCAGCGTACTTCACTGCTGCACAACTCATGAAAGGGTCAGGAGATCAGTATTTCTCTTCTGTGTAAATTATGGAAATATAATTTATTAAAGTAGTTACATCAGAGCAATACCTCAGAGGGGGACAACCAACTAGACGTGAACCGCATATATTATTTCCACAATAAATGATGTGTTGTGAAGGAATTACAAATTTGACTCAATAGTACAAATTGACACCTGTGCAAAACCTGTAATGTATTGTGCATAGCACTTCAGTAGACTGAACATCTCATATAAGGTCATATTTGCGTATATAAGGTTAACATCCCAACTGTAGTTTCCAAATGTTATGTCAAATAAGTAACAGACAAAGTTATGATGCAATGTTGACCAAACATCCAACAAAAACCATGAAGAATCTGGGTTTCGTGCAGGCGCAGTACGTTCTGCCGACATATTAAATAGCATTATCTCTCAGTTAAAAATGTGACTTTTGGTAAATGTCAGATATTTCAACCCTGCCCCCCTCCCCCACCAACAGTTGCCACCTGCCAGTGCTGTACATTGGTCTGGAGTACGGCATGACCAACAACCTGAAGCTGGCCGAGCGCTTCTTCAAACAGGCACTGAACATCGCTCCCGAGGACCCCTTTGTCCTGCATGAGATGGGTGTGGTGGCCTTCCAAAACGGAGAGTGAGTTAACTGTAAACTTTCAACAGAAATCATTTTTAAGTGTGTATCTTGTGTATTGAATATATTACATGGTTACCTCTGCCGATTGGAGACCACAATGCGAAGGAGTATATATATACAATGTACATGTATATAACAAGACCTCAGAAAAGTACTTAAATCGTATTTTGATCCTGAAAATTCGTCTTCAACAGAAAATCACAAGACTCTACTTGACAACCATACTCAGTAACATACATGTATCATATTGGTGTCTGTAAAAAAATGTCCTGTTTCTCATATATCTCCAGCCTTGATACAGCAGAGAAATTCTTCATGGATGCCTTGGAAAAGGTTCAGGCCATTGAAAAGGAGGTAAGCCCAGTGAGAAATCTGGTAAATCTAACTGCTTTTGATGATCTTTGAATTTGTAAAAAGACAACAACGAGATTTGACAGAAAGTTGACAAGGTACCTGTTTGTTTTTTATTTATAGATGCTGACAGAGAAGTGGGAGCCTCTCCTGAACAACCTGGGGCATGTGTGCAGGAAGCTGGGGTGAGACCACAGGGCACTGTTCTTTTACACATACATACATGTATGCAAGACTTCGCAGTCATTCTTTACCTGTACATACTACACAATCACTTGCTGTCAGGGGCGTCCTCCCCAAGACCCTGTGGTCATAAACCTCTAACTCTGGAGAACCATTCTCATTCCCAGAACTACAAGTAGAAGCTTAGAATTCTTTATCACTATAAAAATCAGTCCAATTGAAGCTCACGATTCTCTGTCACTATGGAAACTAGTTATCACAGCCTCTATTACTACTAATAATTATTTTAACAGACAGTTCTCCCTCTGACAATAATGGGTCCAGGTCAGCACATGATATAAATCAACATGATTAAGATGTTCCTAACTCTCATGATTCAGAGTTAATGAGCCTGACCTGCTAGATGTGTGATGTAGTGAAGCTACATTGTAAAATTTTCTGTACTGTAAATTGGTCATTGCCTCATCCCCCCCTCTAGTGTGTTGAGTAACCATAGGTGTTGTTCCCTCAGACGTTACGAGGAGTCGCTGACGTACCACCAGCAGGCCCTGGTGCTCTGTCCACAGAACCCCTCCACCATGGCAGCCATCGGGTTTGTGCACAGCCTACAGAGTCAGTTCGACCTCGCCATCGACTACTTTCACAAGGTACACCCAGCATAGCTGTCGCCTCAAAGAGCCAAGTGGTTAGGCTAGAGGACTCGAGATCGAGAGGTCATGGGTTTGATTCCTGGCTAGCTAGACGTTGTGTCACCCGTTGTAAAATGAGTATCTGACTTCGTTTGGGAGATAAAAGGTGGTGGAAAGAGATTGATGCACTCCACTTTCCAATACCGTGCCTTAGATCTAGGGATGGTGGATTAACAATGTACTGCCCCTTCAGCCTTCAGCTGTAAAATGCTATCATAATGGGACTATTTACTAGTATCTGTTTGGGGTGGGGGGTACTGGATGGGGGTCCAACCACTTTTGTATGCTATATTGAGGAAGGAAGCAACTACAAATTTTATGCCCAATTCGGGCAGGCTGGCAAGGCTTTATAATTATCCTAACTATAGGCTGCGAAATGCACCGATTATACTACGTTAAATTACGGGAGAGCAGTCTGGCTGAAATTACATAGAATTAAAATGACTGATTACGCTGTATGGAAATAAGCAGACCTCTTTGAGTTTCTCCACCAAACATTGAGAAAAAATATGTGGAGTGAAGAAAGAAAAGCAATACTGTAAATCACTTAGTCTTCATGGTAGCAAAATTTCACGGTGTGGTAGAAAAATGGACATGTTGGCGGAACATTATCTTCAAGGTGATGGCAAGGGGGAGGGGGGAAAAAAACAAATGATTTGTTAATGATTGTGACGTTAATGAATGACGTTAATACAAAAGTGACAGTGAAAACAGTGAACATAAAACATATTATGTACCATGAAAAAGTCAGGAATTACAGCAGTCTGTTCCTAGTCTAATGTACTCAAAAGACTGCCCATTCTGTTCCTACTTCTTACTGCACCATTTGTGCAAATCATATGCAGTTGACAGGTTGCAAATTATTTGAGAAAAGGTTGTACAATATCTTCACTGCTCACTGGTTTCTACTGTCAAAACCATATGCCAAGCTAAAGATGGTCAACCAATGGCGGAGCTGTTTAAATCTGAAGCCAATTCTTTGTATCAGGGTTTGCTTAGACCACTGTAGGAAAATCTAAAACATATGTGTAGGGCTGGAAATACTTTTTTCAGCATACCTGCACTGTTGTAGGTAACAGTCAATAGTCACATGCTCAAGACAAATTTTACGTTGGTTTCGTTGGCAGTTTCGTTGCCTTTCTGTACGTCCATCCAAAACAGTTTTTACTGGTAAAAATCCTGTGCCTGTCATAGTCTTTGTTAGCAAAAGAAAAGGAAGAAAAATACAGCCATAAACGAAAAGTATGAACAGCAGCTGCTACCAGTATTTCAGCACCAAGGACAGTAGCTCATGAAAAATGGAGGTAAAGAAACTTTTTAAAAATCTATAACGTAGGGATTTCCTCAAACATGGGACCTCTGTTTCACATCCTATCAAATAGGACATCCCTTAAGCCAATGCTTGGTAATCATGTTAACCTGAGTTGATGTCTGATTGAGGATCTGAAATGTTTTGTTGTTGTTTTTTTCCACAGGCTCTGGGACTGAGGAGAGATGACACCTTCTCTGTAACCATGTTGGCTCAGACTATAGAACTGTACATAGGGGAGATGAAGCCTTACGAAGGTTGGAACTTACTGATTTTTGTGTGTCATGCAAATTGTTAAGTTTTCTGGTAGTGTGGATGGGAGAGATATGCTGTACTGTAATACTATATTCACTGTAGATGAATAGTTATTTCTGTGGTAGGGAAATATTGTTTTGGGTGGCTGAGTTGTGGCTTTGTCTCTCTCTCTCTTTTATAATTGCCTCAGTTGCATGGTAAGTGATTTTGACAGATGATTGATGGGGAGGTCAAGCATGGGTGTAAGTGGGCAGTATATGGAGGAATTCAGAAAGAGGTGTAATACCCGAGTGAATTACATCATACAATCACCTCCACAATACATTGACAAATATATAAGGACTTTCCAGAGGTCTGTGAACATGAAGGTCACAAAAATCCAAAAACACTTTCTAGAAGTCTGAAATCACTGATTTCTTTTGACAATACTGTTCTATACAAATTTTTTCATCCAATGTTACGATAAGAATAACAAGCAGACATTGTTCTCCAGGTGCAGAAGAGCTGCCGGAGAAGTTTGAGGGGATCCCTCTGCCGGAGTACAACGTGGCAGACGTGGGTGATGTGAAGCTGGGAGACGTGACGGCAGAGCTGAAGCTGGAAGGTGACGGGCCCATGATGCTGGAATCCTGGGGCCAGGACGCTAGCAACTCCTCCTTGGATATAGAAGTGGAGATGGAGGACAGCTGATCTTACACTTTATATACAACTTGCAATGTGTTTCTTTTTTACATTGACCTCTCCACTGCAAATTCATGATACCGCAACATTGTATTACTACTATACTACGGAATTGTTTCAACCATGAATTTAAAATCCACTGCAAAATTTAATGCATTTATAGTACCCTCCCTGCTCACAGTACCACTTCCACACATGCAACCTTTTTTTTTTGTTTTACATTATGTAGCTGCAGGGAAGAGAAACCGTCCCTCAGAATTTCTGTTGGACTGAAACCTTGGCCATGGAATTTTTTGTACTCAATGGCACACAGGTACATTGCTGAAGCAGACCAGCACAAATGATTGAAAATCAATATCTGGAATAATGTGTAGTTTCATTAAAAAAACCTCTTTTGCAACAGTAACAGCACAATCACATTCGCCATAGGTCATTGAACAATTTTTATCCCGTTAGATTTTCAAGCAGGCTGTGACAGAACTGACCACCAACAAGGATCTAAGACAGCTTTTTTCAGTAAGGCCACACCAAGTAAATTTTATGGATGACGTCCTTTGGAGACCCTATATCTAATGCGAGAGGGCGAGAAAAAACAAGAAGGGCCCTAAAAAGCAAGATTCCTAGATTAGAAATATACTAAGAGACGACAAATGTTAGGACACAAATTGAATGAGGTGACACAGATTAACAAGCAAGAAGTCTTTTATTCATCATCAAAACAGCAATAAATCAGGTGGAACAGCAGTTGTCGTCCTCTCCTGTTTCTTTCATCACATTTTTTGCAGGCCTGCAGAAACAAAGCATGTGCTCTTTACCCATTTCGCGTTACGGGTTTCACGTCAATCTAACGATTTGGGGCACTGTCGTGACTCTTTGGTCATAGTTACAGGAAGCCGAATTTCTTGTTTTTTTTTCTAGGAACAGGCCAAAATCTATGCGCGCGCGGACGTTATCCATAAAATTTACTTGGTGTGGCCTAACAAGACAGCGCAATTTTGCAGGTTTTCATCCTTTTTATTTAATGCTGAAGGAAGGATAAACTATACAAACTTTTAAGTACATTGTATATATATGCCTTAACAGATAGAAATTGATAAAGGAAGGACTGTAAAGTTACAGAAACAAGTGAAATACTGATACAATGTAGTATGGTTGAATCTTAATTAAAACACAACGGGAATCAAACCCACAACACTTGGTACAGAAGTTACATTTTACTGACTTTGAACAGCTTGTGCCACGAAAGTTCAGTCAAACTGAAAAATTCCTTCTATCCACAGAGAGATAAAGAGACTGACTCGCAAAAAATTTTTGTCTTCAGCAAACATATGACAAACATCAGCAATTTATTCAAAACATATTCAGCAGGGGAAATACATGATAGAATATAAAGACAAAAAATATATAAAACAAGACGTTCAGTTACTGATGATATTTTAAAAGCTATAATGATACAAACCAGAAGTTTATGAGTCTACAAACATTAGTCATGAGTACTGTAATCGTAAAACTTTCACATTGGTTTTAATTTTTTGTCATGATGACCTCTCCACCGTGCATTCATAACGCCATAGTTATGTCCTTGTATGACTACTGTACTGCAGAATTGTTGTAACTGCATACAAAATGTTTAGTAAGCACTGAAAAAATCTCCCTTTCCCTGCTTCCACTATATAACATCACCATGAAAGTTTCATGATTTACAGTACCATTTTAATGTTTGAATCTCTAAGTCAGTATTGCATATTTGAACTACATTCTGTACTTCAGAGAGGCTCAGCACTAGAAATCTCTCTTGTGTCTGATAGTTTTGTGCAACTATTTGTTTGTTTCCTTAGCATGAAAGTTTGACATGTAGCATATTGTCTTTGTATTTACTTGCTTTTTCAGCATACTCGAAAGGTGTCTTCAATCAGTAGACAGATATACACAAAATTAATGTACATGTACATGTGCCAACAGCACCAAAAATCCTCATGTTTTACTGAACAGCTACAGCTACTGACTTCTATGGACGGAAGTATTGTTTTGGGCAACGTTCGTTTAGGGGAGGGGGAATTTGTACATGTATGTATCTCGTCCTCAGCAGCAATGATCAGAAGTGAGTGGGCGGAGATTGGCTTTCATATGATTGACAGGGTTGTGACCCGGTATGCCCTGGGTAGTACCATACGGTGTAATGTAGCCAGGAATGTGTATTGTGTAATCATGGTATGAAACATTAACCATGACTTACGTCGTACATTCTATGTCTCCCATGTGCCCAGAACACTTCTTGGAAGTCTAAAATCCCGGTTCCTTGTTTTGACAGTGCCGCAAATTCAACGAGTTTACAGCACAACTTTTAAGAAGTAACCTAATGAAAGAAAACAAAGATGTCCCACTCAATACAGGAGAACTTTTCCCGCCATCTCCTGCCTGGTTAGGCTGCTGGCGCGAAGATCGTCGTCATCATCGTCTCCTGTGTTCCACTCGTTGCCCGCCATGGTGCACACGCTCCACTCGGAATACACGGTCACCTCCGAGTCGGTGGATGTCTGGTGAGGGACGTGTAACGTGCAGCGGGCTGAAGCAAAAAAAAAAAAGAAATAAGAAGTCTTGAGATTGCAAACCTCCAGGAAATATGCGAATACAACAAAACAAAAACAATACCTTCACGTGGAAGGATACCTCGTAGGAGGTAACAAGGAATTAACATTGTAAAACGCGTACGAGCATCAGAGGATAAAGTGAACAGAGCAAATTTACCAAACACATTACACGAATTAGACTGCAAATAATGCGACTGAAATAGCACTATATTCGGTAAAATGGCTAGGTATATTTCAATGGGCACCACTAAAAGTTCCTGTTTGAACTATGTACAGACGTCTGTCATATCAACCGAGCCAATGATCGGTTGTGTGGGGCGATTAGGCGCTTTTTCTGGCGGAGGTGTTATCAACAGTTTGATGTCCAGCTTCAAACACGGGTTATGAACAGACAGTAGTCTTTCTGACACCGCTGGCTGAACCGTTTATTTTATATTTATAATTACGTCCCTTCTAATTGGCGGATTCACACTCCAGATGGCAGCTTGTGCAAATCAAAGGCAGGCTGTCATCACGACTCATTACCAGTGACGCGATCGGCGCTATGTTTGTATCGTTGTCATGGTTTCGTTCAGAATCACAGTCCGTGTATTCCCAAGGACGTTTCAAACTAGTTCACAGATGAGCCTTGTGGAAAAGTGTGTATCGGTAGATGCCATACTTTATACAATTGTTTTGCAATATAAAGTTTATGCTAGTGTGTGTTGCAAAAATGTGAAACTTACCACCTGATCCGGCCCGCTGTCCCCTTTCCAGTAGCGATTGAAAGGTTCGCACTGGGGACAAGAAGACCAACAACGTATTAAAAGCTCTCAAATCGGTGTATGATAATAATGTAGATGTTATAAGCCTGAGTGGCAGCATTTTTACCGGTCGGTAGCGGATCGTGGGGAGCGGAGAAAAGCTAAAATGGCTGATACTCAGGCTAGTTAGTTATAAGCCTCATATCATTAGCTCCATATGCTCATATATCTACAATTGTTTTGAGAAGCGAGAAGAAGTTGAACATGCACATAGTAGCTAACATTAGTATGTATAGTTTTGATAAGATAGTGCCTTAATTTTGTTTCTTCCGCTTTTTTCAGGACCTGTACTTAGCCTGTAAACAAACGTACAATAAAGGTATTTTATTCGTTATAAACTACCGGTATACCCCAAACAAACAGGTAACCGTGACATAGATGTGATAGTATGATACAGCCCCCGTGAAACCTACCGGAACACCGACTGGTGTTCCCCTCCCTCCCATCAGGCACACCTCTGTCCACGTCTCTGTCCTCCTCGTCCTCATCTGTGGTCGCCGAGACCGACGGCTGCAACTGTTCTACCGGCGAGGCGAGCTCCACCAGCTGGGTCACCAATCTGGGCGTCACGTACGAGCGGAAAGGACTGTCCGGAGGCGACGAGGTGTTGCAGGAAATCGCACAGCCCATGATGAAAAACCGTTACCATGTAACCGTTAACCTTGGGCTGGAATGTGGCGCGAAACCGCGCGGACCTGAAACCGGCCTTACCCCGACTCTACATAGCTTTATACCTGCTGTCTTACGTCACAGCGAGCGGCCACCTGCCGATATGCGAAGCGTAGCGCCACAGAGAAGTGAGTCAGGGATGACGTGCGCGCTTTATTAGCTGCTTGGCGTTACCGGCAATTTTTCCAACCCCCTGCCTCAGTACACAGTATGTCTTGACACTGTACGAATTATCCTGCTGTCTTCGCGACCGACAGTTGCTCCAGAGCACCCTCTTGCCAGTTCCAGTTGTTCGCTTTCCTTTCCCTTCTTTCCACCACACAAAACAAACGGCCAAGAATGTAAGAAAAAACCCTTTCTTGTAAATTCTACCTAGCTGCCAAATTGATACTGCTTACAGCCACCAAAAGATCTGTTTGGCTACGTAATGATGAAAATTGCCGCCATGACGACGGGAAAGCAAAGCGTGGCACGACGAGCGTTCATGTGGTAACTACGGTATCGATATTCACGGTGTCACCACTATCCGTGAATGTACGACGTCTTTTGTCATCAAATGAGCATATATGATCAAGAAGTAAGTGTTTTTGACAAGGTGCTTTATACGTTTTATCGATGGAATTCAGCTCTGATGTATGAATTTTTTTTAAACAAAATACTTGTGTTTCTGGTGATCACGATGGTGTTGTCACCACCAGATGGAATCTTCAAAACACATACGTCAGAGTACGTCCGACGTCTTCTGCTTAATTGTACTCTTCATCGGTACCGTCGCCGCTATTATTTGTGCACTGGTTTAAAGGCATCCAATGCAATGTCAGGGCGACTAAACAAACAATATTCTGGATAAGGAAATCTGTCTAATGTTGACATTTACTGCCATTTCTTAGCACATTTTCGTCATCCCTTCATACTTGTCTTTGAAATATAAACCAGTCTACTTGAAGCATAAGAAATAGCCCAAAACAGGCTACGTGAGGCATCTCTTTTTCCGGTATCTCCAATAAATAGCTTGAATTAAGTCAACGACACAAAACAAGCAACCCTTTTCCGTCAGTGACGTGGCATTTTTGCCTCACAGATATGTTACGTATGTTATGGGATAGGATTGATTCAACAACTCACTACATTGAAAGAATGAACCCTAAAATTGCATTGGATGCCTTTAAACGTGGTTGATGGGAATCTTAAGATTAAACACAAATCGTTAAAAACAAGAAATCGGAAATTTGAGGATCCCGGCTTCTGAATTCACACCCATGTCGATCTAAATTCCTACAGGCTCCTGAGACCTTCTGCCTGTCAATCTTCCCCACCCACGTGCTGTCAACCTGCTCTGTCAAAAAAACAAAAAAAACAGATGCACAATCCAATAGAAACAAAGAAAAGAAATGGAAATGTGTTTTCCCTTCTCACGTGTACTTGAACTTCCCTTTCCTTTGTAAACATCCAGTGTTGGCGTCAGGCGTTCGTTCGTTGCCCCGGTATCATATTACCTGAGGGCCGGTAAAACCTTTGCGGTTGATACCAAATCTCCTACAACTCAACTGCAGGGTACGTATGAACTACGTGTACGCTGAGCCAGCAGTTTGGTGTGTTGAAACTGAGCGTGTCCTGACGTTGACTGACAGTGCAGCCCACGGCCTAACAACACTTAAGACTTGGCACTTAAACCAACTTGCGTCATCAAAGAGCCAAAACATCCTCTGCACTTTAGTCTTCGTGATAAGTCAGCAACCGTGCCGCGTGAGCTATGCGTTATGAAACCAAGAACAGTAGTGATATGGAAGGGCATAAGCTGTAATGCCATAGCTTGAGGACACCGTTCGTTCTTACAAATTTTTCAAGCTAGCTTCTATCTGCTAGTTGAGGCCACCGTCATTAAATGACACCAATGATAATGAAATACGGAAATCCTGACAAGATCTAGAAGTCATCAAACGTGATGAGTATTATTTATTGAATAAAGAGGTTTGGGCAAAAACACACACGTTTAATGTTAGGAAAGATCGAATCTTACAAATCATCCTCTTAATTTCTGCATCCAGTTAATCCAATTTCGAAGTCATTCCGGCAAACGTCTTTGTTCATTAATTAGATAGTGCCTGTTACGTTCGACAGTTTTTAGGAACTGTTGTAATTCATTGTCATTGGTTTTCTGTTTTGTTTTTTCATTATTAACAATATTTACCACACGGTGAGTGGATGGTATGGTGGAACAGGTGTTCGGGAACTTTTTTTCTTGAAATGATTTCGCGATATGGTCCTCCTCCTTCTGGAGATCAAGATTACTAGAAGTAACCGTCACCATGCAAGCCTGAGCCTTGTTTGTCTTGCTGCCATGGTTCTGGTTAGAGTTACGCCTTGATGTTTCATGTGTACGTGTTCAAGTTTGTTTCACCTCCCACACTACGACTGATTGTGTTACAAGGATTACCATTAAAGGGCAAAAGTCCTTTATACCGTTTCATATTACTCCACAGTCAGCCGCCGGGCCACGTGCTTTCGATTCTGTGTTTGAGCAATCATATCCAGTAAGGCCATACTGATTTGACTATACATATTGTATATAACAGTTAAATGACATCCTCTGGGAAAACTAAAATTGATGCGAAAAAAACAAGTTGGACAAAAATGTTGCCTTCATTATGAAATCAACTTCATTGTGTCTGCTAGCTAGAATTAGAAGATGAAACTGTTCTTGACCAAAGATAAATTAGTCAAAAACATAATTTGGACAATAACTACGATAGCTGTTTCTCCTTTATCTATATAAGTTGGATGATACGTACGTTGTAAACAATAAATACAATCCATAGCAAAACGAAGAGCCCCACGTTCCTAAAAGCTATGATGTAACAATAAAGACTCTCGGTCACCTAAATCACAATATGAGAACATCATAGCATTGTTACGTCATAGGTTTTGGAAACGTGTTGCCATGGAGTGTATTTATTGTTTATAACGCTAGGTGTCGCCCTGATCAAGTGCTCGACAACGTCGTTGTTGCTGCTGTTACAGAGATAGCCGGTACTATTGAAAATAACTCATTGAAACAAAATTGTCAGGCTACCTTGTGTAGAAAGAGACCGTTAATACAGCTATATTGAAACATGGGTCTTTGTAAGTCAAAGGTTGACGTCGCGAAGCAAGTTCAGCCCGCAGAAGGAGACAACAAGCGGGCAAACGAACATGGACCAACTGACGAGAAGTCACACAACATGGTCACTGAGGCTGCAGGTAAAGGAAAATATCCATCCATATCTGTCTCCAGAACGCTGGCATCGATTCCACTACTGATACTTACTAGTTCTTACTGTTATACACATAGCAACAGTTTCCTCCATTTCTACCTGAATAGCATAGACATGTCTTTCATCAGTACAGTTAGAAGTTCTGTTCTAGAACACTGGAGTAGCATGGTAGAGTGTGATACCGCAGCACACATCCCTGGCCCTGTATACAGGTGTAGTAGATCGTTCTATGAAATTAAATCTGTTTCAGACAAACGTCGCTCCCCTGCAATTATCGTGGTTCAGAGCCGATCCCAGGCGGGCGTAGCGCTCCGCCGCCTCACTCTCTCCCGCCGAGCCGGAGCGGCTCATCACGTCTAGACACAACGCCCCCTGCCGGAACTACGGCCAAGTGCCGGTCACTGTTGTCAGGTCTTCATCGCCCGTGAACGCGTTCATGGCCGCGCGGGACTGCTGCTATTCCTCCAACCTCGCAGGGGAACGGTAGGGCCGAGACGGGACTGTTCAGCGTCGGTTTGTACAGGCACGGGTAGAGGGCTGCTAGACCGTACGCACGCCACCCAGACAAGTGTGGCAGGGACAGCTGAGCCTGGGTTTCAGCCACTGGGTCCGAGCGGAGAACCCGAGAACTCAGGCTGCGGTAATCTGTCGTCTGATGAAGATGTCGCCGAGATCAGACGGAGAGAATCTGACAAGAAAGCAGATTCTTGGACTGACCACCGCTATGTGGAGAGTCAACAATTTTTGCGAGAAAGCAAAGGGAGGCGTTCTTGAAAACAAGGCCGAATTTGTTGCGATTTGTTGCATATTAGTATTACATACCGAGGACTATGATCTATCAGAATGTTACAGTTCATCGCAGGTCACTTTGTGTTTACATCAGTGACGATTGGCATAACGACTAATAATGGCGTTGTTTTGATCCCCAAACCTTGCCCTGGACACACTGTGCATGTCAGTTGGTCTTGTCCGTGGTGCTGATTTCTTGTGATGAGACAGTTTTGTACGCCTACTCCAATAAACGTTGTTATTCGCTAGAGAATATGGTGTACTGGGGTGTGCCCCTTACATGGTTCATATAGCCAGGCACAAGGTTTGTAAATACGAATCTAATGCGACTCTTGTAGTCTTTGACAACAACAGTTCTTGTACTCAAACAACAGGAGCTACATGTACTTGAAACTTCTGACTTCTTTCAAAATGTATCCAGTTGCTTGAGTAACATGCGCCAAAAACAGTTACTCAACCAACATGGATATGATAGTTGCTTGAGTAACTGTTTTTGGCGCATCTTATTACCTAGATGTCTAACCTTCACCGACGTATGCTTGAGTAACCCCTTTTTTTGGGGTATATCTAACAAGAATCGACGTATCTCACAGTCCCCTCATTCACTTGAAACGGTCGGGAACGCAACTTATGAGCTGAACATGTTGTGAGCAAAGGTAGCCTGGTGTTTCGTCTACCGTGGTTTGCGCGAGCTCTCTTCGGGCCGGCATAATGCCAACCCACCGCCCAGCTCAACTAGGTTCCACGGTAAGAGTTGCGCACAACGTAAGCCCACCTGTTGACACCCAGCCAGACCATTTGTACGATAGTTTGTGTAGTTATGACTTGTAAACTTGCTTTTGGATTGTATAGGCGGGGGTTAGCGCGAACGCAGACCCCCACTATCATAAATTACGCAGCCGAGTTACCCGCATTTGGGGTAATCGCAAGGGTCAAACCGCCGGAGTGCAATGGCCAGTCCTCGCCCTGGACGGACATCCTTCGTGATCAACGTGCCATCTCTGCCAGGTAAGTATGCCCTACAAGCCACCTGTGAACAGCCACGTCACGCAGACAATCAATTCTATTACAGGCATTCCTACACAAATCCATTTTTGTTATGCGGACGCTCCTATTCAGTTACATGGGGAATTGTTTTCAAACCAGACTTAAACATGCCCACGAAAATATTTGACATGCAAATCTGGGAGAAAACTGACGAGATTACCTCCATTTCAAGGCTTGAAATGGTATACATAGTCAGATTCAGACATTACCTGGCGTAAATTTACATGATTTATGCATGACGATGACGTCACAGCGTCACACCTGACTCACCTGTCTTCACTTCCAACGCATTCCGCTATGTGGCGCTTCTGCAACCACAGGTAGGCAATGAATGGCAGAATTATCAGAAACAGCAGCTCAACACATGTTTTTAACTTTCACACTTTTTATTTGTGATATGAGCACTTTTTTCTTAATAATGTACAATGATACAACATGCACCAGCCATATCTTCCCCTGGGAACTGTCCAACTGACCCCTAGACCTGTGGGTCCTCTACGGAAACCTCGCAACACTCAGGGAATGTCACAGTACCGGTAACTCCTGAACATCCCGGCAACATACGGTTATCAAGAAAGACTGGTAGGATGTCAAGGGAACAGACAGTTTTAAAGGGCACAGTGTTAAAACAAGAACGTTGTTCAGGTATTGACAATTAGCCAGCCTTTCTAGATTTAGTACACTCTCTTGGTTGCCGCTAAAAACACTGGGCACACATATTCTAACCGTCTGTCAGTTGAATATTTGTTCATATGCTGGGTGGAACCTCTGCTGACTGGATGACCCTATGTCACCACTCAGGTTTGCCCAATCAGCACACATTTAAACTTGTGAACATATATTCAAATGCCAGACGGATGGAATACATGCAGGCCCGGTCTTTTTGGCAGGGAAGCAGAAAGTACTAAAGCTAAAAAGTTTGACATCTCTGACATATAACTTATAAGGTAGTTGAGAATGGGCTGCTATTTCCAGGTTTTTATACCGGAGGGGGGGGGGCAAAGGAATCTATCCTTCCTTAATCTGGGGTGGCCGAAATTTGGAAATTTTGAGTCTGCAATGATGGTTACCTTGTTGAAGTAGGAAAGTAGACACAAGTTTTTAACAGACAGTCTGACAATTAAAACACATTCAAAATGGATCACTTTATCTGGCATAAAAAAATTAAAACTTTAACCTTCTCTCTGCTGCCTAACCCTGTACTAGTACAAATTTGAAGCCAACAGGCCACTTCAGCAGGGAGGAGGTTACGCATACTATAATAGGAATAGACAGTGTATTCTGTAATAAAAAAAAAGAAGATTTTTCCCTGATGCCTTACAGATGTTGACAAGACCTTTCAGTCTATTATCTTCTGTGTATGTTTGGTGGTGACCTCTGCATAATAGACCAATCCTAAGTGTCCATCACAAATAGCAGTTCAACCAATAAGAGGATGCCAATTAGCTGTTCAACCAATGAGAGAGTAGCTGTATGCCCACCAAATATTTGCATTTCTACCAGTACATATTGTTGTTGGTGGTCAGGGCTTTGGGATCAGTCTATTAACCAAGATTTGTACCATAAGCTTGTATTTCAACATTGATGATACTTAAAATGGTCATAGACATACATGTATGGAACTCTGTCAATGCAAGTGAACCCTAATACTTCCCATATTCACAGGTAACCCAAATACAACATTGTGTCCAAAGTGCCAATGGAAATAGACAACATGGACAGGTTTCTAGTCATTTTCGTTTTACACATTAATTATTTAGAGACAATGGCAAATTACCAAAAGACTGGACCTCCTTTCATGGATTTTACTCATAAAAGGAACAACGTTTCCTAAAACTAACGGCCTGAGGACTCTTACAGTCAGAACAGCAGAGGATGGTACTGTAAATCGTGAAATTTTCACAATGGTTTACAAGTAACTTCCATAGTGACCTTTCCACTCTAAATTCACGACAAATGTATTCCTTGTACATTGTGTATACAGAATTGTTTCAATTTATCTGCAAAGTTAAAATACAGTGAAAACCCCCCATGCCCTCCTATCAGGAAATACAACCACCGTAAATATCTCACGATTTACAGTACTTGTACATCTGGCAGTGCCCAAGCCCTCCAGGGGTACAAAGGTGGTTTGAACCTCACAGTTGGACAGATCACGATCATTCTGGTGGAAACTGCTACTGTTACAATAGGTCTTAGTGGGTAGCTGTTGATGATATACAAAAAAATTACACAGTGATGTTGTGTCTTTTTTGTGGCCAGGGCTTTACAGACTGGGGGTGGGGTGGACGTAACATGGCTTCACCTCATGAACACATCCGTGTTACGAAAGCTGGAGTTGTCCCTGCAAATCAACAAAGAAACAAGACAACAACATCCGTAAATAATTTCATCAGGTTGGTGAAATGATGGAATATCCAAGTTCTCTATTCACAGCACAAGCGCTGACAGACGGTCGTCAAAATGTCAGCTCTTGTAAACAAGTTGTTGTGAATAGAGAACTTTGATAAACAAGACAACAACATCAATGATACACTGTAATACAATTTTTACTGCTTCTGCTGTTACTGTAAATACATTTAATTTTATAGTGGTGTTACTTTTGCAGTTTCTGTAGTGTCTCCATGCAAAATCATGACACTGCAGCAATTATATGTTTTGTACTTCTAGTGTACCACAGAATTGTTTGAAATGGAAAAACCATCTAATATCGTGTAATAAGGCCAACACAAAAGCAAATGACTTCTACAGTACACAACATCGACATTATAAGACTTGAAAATACAGGGGCACAAAAAGGCTCCACACCAGAGGTGTCACTAAAAAGAGACTTACTTTAGGCTGTCTTGATGGGCCTTGTACTCCATGATGGTGTTGGGAGGAAGGTTCAGCACCCGCCGGAGGGTGTCTCGGATACGTGTTGTTGTTGCATGGTCGCTAGCTGTCTTATTCCACACAGATACGATATCCTCCTGTGATGTATAGGGAAGTAGAAAGTTTTCTCTTATTCAAGTTAATGACTCAGAAGCGTTCCCTTCCTGATCCGTAAGTGTTCACTTCCTGACCCCAAAAATGTTCCCTTCCTGACCCCAAGAATGTTCCCTTCCTGCTCCAGAAGTGTTCCCTTTCTGACCCGGAAGTGTACCCATACTGACCTGGAAGCGGATGGAGATGACAGCCCCACAGATCTCCTCCCCGACCATGAACTGTTCCCCCAGCATGGCCAGGATCAAGTTCTCCCAGCAGCGCGAGGCCAGGCCCTTCCGTAGACGCACAATCCACTTTCCGCCATCTTTGTTAGCTTCATCCTGGAGTGTAGTGAAATAACATGATCTCAAAATCTAAGGTTCAATTCTTTTAAATGTGATTTACATCATCTTCTTTGCATGCTCCAAGAAGAATACATGTACATTGTAGTTTGAAATTCATTTAACACTACTGAAGATCCTAAAAATAAAACAGACCTCCCACATAGGCTTGATTCCTTCCTTGAAGAGATGGAAGTCGCTGTGTCCTGACAGGTCTCCTGGTCGAACCATGTGGCTGTAGAACCTCCAAAACTGCTCCACCTACCGGGCATACAGGGAACTACACTTGATTCTCACACTCCTGATTTTAAAATCCACAACAACCCATGCCTTTCTTGGAAAGAAATGTCTAATGCAAAAAACAATTCTATTGTCCTTTATCTTATGGAAGTACAACCACAAATTTTCTCTTCACAAGTCTCCTTTGTACCTATGCAAAAGCCAACACACATAAAAACACCTTGGTTGCCTGTCATGGTAAATAGACCAATTCTGACTGTCCATCACAATTAGCACTTCAACCAATAGCATGGCAAATTTGCAGTTTGACCAATGAGATAATGACTGCTTGTTGTCATATAAAATCATATAAAAGATTTCCATTGTCTTTATTTTGCATGTCTATATTTGGACAGAGACTAAGCGATAGGTCTACTAAGGTCCTGTCTAAATCTAATTACTAGTACTTACGGAAGCAAAAGTCCCGACTAGTTTAATATTCTGTTCATAGTTTGTGGAGTTCTGCTGTTTCCCGGGCGACCGTCTGGAGAACCATATGGAATAGTTGAACTGGAGTGGGTGTTCTCCTGGACCGGCCTTCTGGATTGGCTGGAAACAACAAGCCACAAGACATTATTACTTCTGGGTACAGAAGTATTGTTTTGGGCGTCTGGGCTTATAGGTTTGTTTGCTTCTGTTCTAATTGTTTCTAGTTGCATTGTATTTTTAGTACAGTAAAATAAAAAGCATAATTTCCAATAACAAATGACTAACAAACACTTCAGAATTTATTTCATTGACATACGTTACATGTAGTGCGTGTGTGTGTATAGGGGTGTGTGTGTACGATGTTTGTGTGTGTACTGACTCTGGGGCTTTGTTGTCTTCTACTCTCCCCATTCTCATCCTTGTCCTCATCTTTGTCTTCACCGCTGTCATCATCTTTCAACCTGCAGCAGACAAACCTTAAGGTTAGAAAAGGTATGATACCTGTCTTATACCTGTCTAACAACTTAACTAAACAATTGTACATCAATCTGGTCAATCCTTAAAGTTACTGTAAAAAACATCCCTCGACAGTGCAGGAAATACTATCTTCATATGCAGGTTAGTGCAGGTAAAATTGGAGCTGTGTCTACTTGCAACTAACCTGCACTGGTCCATGCATTTAGGTGTATGTGGATTTTTTATTCTATGTATTGACCTGTGCCAACTACATTTTGAATTAAGTAATGACAGTCAGTAGTTTCTGAACAGTTTTTACAGTGATCAATACTATTATATAAACTTGTGCAGCTGAAATTTGTTATTGTAATGTGATAAATTATTGCAGAACAATATACTAATACAGATACGCAGATGTACTATGTACTGCAGTAGCCAACACGTTGAAATATTACAAATTGAAATCGTAGCGTTGTTTAACTGCTAATCAACATATCAATAGGAATATGACTGGAGATCCTGACTGTTTGATTTGTGATCTAGACAGTCTAAACGAGATCATTACTATTTCTGTAAAACATAGGTCGACAACAGATCAGCTGAGTTGATATAATTTTTTCTCCAAGATAGTCGAGTGTCCGCATGACACGTCTCATCACATATCCGACCCAGAAAACCACGCCGATCTCGACACTTACACAACTGACAAACTGAAGGGTACTTACGCTTCGAATTTGTTGTTCATTTTGCACTGTCTTTATCAAATAAATACAAATATATACAAAAATAGACGCGATTTTTTATGTACACAAAACTTTCAGCTGCCACTGTTCCTTCGTCCAAGTTTGATATCTGAAGTGCGCATGCGTTGAACTAGCAGGCTATCTTTGTAACGATACTTGTCATTGGCTGTTTGTCAACTTTGACCTACTGTGTGTTTTTATTAGATAAAATAGGCAAAAATGCCTCAAAATATGGAATATTTCTCTTTAGTGATACACAATATATCATCAGTAAGATAAACTGGTACAATGGAGGTTATGATTTAGGCCAGGAAAAGATATTTTGTGTAAATAAAAATACAGATGATTGGAAGCAACCACTCAATAATTGGGTACGAAATATCTGTAAAATAACATCATAAATATTATACCACCCGACTGATTATGTTCTCTCTTAACAGTAAAAATATCATGCTGTAAGATTTTGACAAAAAAGAATTCAAGTCTGGGCAATTATTATATCGTTAGTAATCTTATATAAAAGTGGTAAATTCATGTCACCCCTCGGTGGCCTATTAAAGTAGTCCGAAAGAAAAAATGGCGGGAGCCATGAGCACGAAAAGTAGAATAGTGGAAACTTTGGATGATTTGGAGCTTATTTCAAGGTAGGTTCGGACTCTTGTTTGCTCCATATCCTGCCATACACAACTATAGGCATTTTGCGGCCAGAAGAAGACGGATACTAACTATGAATGTGTTAGTTTCGGAGGTTTAAAGCTCCTTGCTTACAGCATGAAGAGTAGATTATAATTTTCTATAGTCAGGTAGGACGTCCTCGGACGCGTCCCCAGTTTGAATCGCTCCTTATCTGTCAGACAGTCTCCTCTTCAACCAACTGTTGTAGTTGGTCTCTTTAACCGTTTCGTTACATATTACTACACTCGAATAGCAGGTTATGCTTTGGTAGCGTCTGTGTGTGTGTGTGATTATCCCACTGTGTTCTTGCCAAGCTGTCTTGAGTGTAGGGGTCCCATACGCAGTGATTTGGATGATATGGCCTGATTTAACGTTAGCCCCTTCACTATTTAAACCTGCTTTACCTGTGTAAGGGGCGTTCCTTTTTGAGATAACCTTGTGAACCTTCATAAATCTTTAAAAATAATGAGAATTTGACTTTAGAATGTAACAGAATGAAAACAAAACAAAGTTTGTCCCTTTAATTTTAAAGCAGGAAATTGTGTCTCTGAGGGTTATGAAAGTTGGCCTTCTGTACATGACCTCTTACTTAAAATGCTGTGAAAAGATTGTGGTGAGAACCCTGTCCCACATTTCTGACATGATTTATGGTGCTAAAAAGAGTTTTTTAATTATAGCCCACATGAGGTGCTTTCATTTTGTGGCGCCATCACAAAATTTTAGAATGTAAACAAGCATGGCTGACAGTTTCCAGCTTTTAAATACACTCTTAAGACATGATATCTTGTCACTTATTCGCAGTGGAGTAGGTTTGATTCAACTTACTAAGTTACTTTGTAATGAACGGAAAATTTACTTTTTGTATTGTCCTATAGAAGAAATAACTGTTTTAGGCCCCCTGGTGGCTTTCCTTGGTACTGCAGGAGGACTTCTAGCAGTTGCAATCAATGATAAACCGATATAATATTAATATGCCACTCGTTAATTTTTAATCATCAATTTTAATCATGTGGCAAAAGAACGAGGTTGTTGTACTCATATTAAGGTGTACTTGATATTAAGGTGTTACTCATATATGATTTTTTTCAAGTAAATGCATCTTGGGATATACTAGCATGAAAAAATGAAAATGAGCCTTCATCACTGAGTATATATTTATTCTGATTTCGCTAATAGATATATTACACTAGTAGAACTAGTATTAGTAGTAGGAGTGCAAAGAAAGATATCTGTCTCAGGAGATGGATGGAGAGGAGGCATACAATAAATGACCTATGTAACTTCACAATTCTACAAAGTCAGAATTCTACATGTACAGAATTTTTATACATTTACATTCACACTGTTGTCTCATCCTGTCCTACTACAGGCTCTCCTATGATCTCTTTCAGTCTGTTCCAAAATTTTGGTTCTTCTCTGCCATCCTCGGGCCACCTTAGGTACCGTTTACCTCGAATGACGCTGAACACACTGCCACAGTTCTCTGGTTGAAGTGATTTCATGTCATCTAACATGATGAGTTTCAGCTGATGGTGAGCTCTTTGGTCTCTCTCTAACTGTTTGGCTATTTCCAACACTTGTCTAAATGACTCATCGCGCAAGGAGGTCATTGTGATAATCCCAAGGATAGTCCGGCTGTGTGTAAGGAAGTGTTCAATGGATGCAGAAATACTACACCCTCCATCCAAGTTTCGCTGAATACTACCTACTGTATACTGATCTCCAGCCTCAAGTCTAGCAGAAAACATCCTTACCTTCTCAGTGTCTTTTTTGCTGTGGATGATGAACACATCATACTCGTAGAGCTTTGTGTTTGGCTGGGCTTCGTCATTAAATCCAACAATATGCTCATATTCCTCTCTGTGTGAGTCATGTTTTTTATACATTTTATACATGCTTAACATAATCAAAACAGCTACAAGACTAGCTGCAACGTAGTATATTGGGTTGAGCATGCAATATTAATGGAAGTCCTCCAAACTTTTTCCTCTGTAGCCTTCATTTCTACAAGTATACATGTTATTTGTGGCAGTGTTTGCAGTGTTCCATCCATCTACTTGAGTCTCATGTCTGTTTGCCCATCGTACAAAGTCTACCAGGTCACAATCACAGTCAAAGGGATTGTCTGACAAATTTATCATGGAAACATTCTGTATGGCTTTTAAAGTAAGGTCATTGATTTGAAAAAAGTCATTTTCTGACAAATCTAGCTCTAATGCTGGATACAAGGTGGAAAATAGTAGTGCTGGGAGAGACCAAAGATGATTCTTCTTCAGATTTACTTGAAGATTTGTGGAGCTACAAGAGCTAAACATGTCACTTGGCAACACATCTAGATCATTATAGCTGAGGTCCAAGTACTGAAGGTATTTCTGTTCTTGAAAAATGTTTGTTGGCAAAGTGAGTATAAAATTGTGATTTAGATCCAAGTACTGGAGGTTTTTCTGATTGTCAAATGCCCTGGAAGGGATGTTGTCAATGTTGCAATGAGAAAGCTGCAGGGATACAAGGTTGCTTAGGTTTTGAAGGGTTTGACTACAGTTAGCATAGCCCCAAATATCCCCAGTATGTGACATGTCCAGGCATTCTAGATGTTGTAGGCCTTGGAACATGGTTAAGTTAGAACAGGCAATCTTTAATGGATTATTACTCAGGTTAAGGCACTTCAGTTGATTCAGTGGATGGAAAAGAGGCTTGCTAACTGTTATTGTTAGATTGTTGGAGGAGATGTTCAAAGATTCCAAATGGACGCAGGGATAGAATGTTTCAGTTTTCAGGAAACTTAGACTGTTATTTTGCAGATGTAGCTCTTTTAAGTAAGACAAGGAAAGAAATGCATCTTTCTCTATGTCATTTATGGTGTTGTGAGCAATGTTCAATTTCTCTAGTGACGTAAGGTCAACAAATGAATTGTTCGGAATATTGCTGATATTGTTCTTGCTGAGATCTAGGCTCCTTAAACTGAACAGACCACAAAAGCTTCGAACATCTATGCCATCGATACTGTTGCCATGAAGGAGCAAGGTTTGGAGCTTCCCTATCATGGCAAATGGACAATCTGACCGTTCCCAGATTTCAGTTTGAGACTTGTTGTTGAGGCTGTTGAGTCCGTTGTGGTTCAGTTCCAGGGACTTGAGGTTCGTCAAATTGTGGAGTGATTCTGGGTCGATCACGGTGAGGTTGTTGTGTGAGAGAAGCAGTTTTTCCAGACTGTGGAGGGAGGAAAAGGAGAACTTCTGCAGCACTGTTAAGTTGTTATGCTCCAGGTTCAGCACGCAAAGGTGGGATACATTACGGAAGGCGCCAGTCTGGATGTGGTGAAGGCAGCAGTGGGAGATGTTCAGGTGCTTCAGGTATGGTAAGGATGTCAGGCTGTCGTTTTGTAGGACCGGAATGCAGTTGTGGCTAAGGTCTAAGACGGTTGCGTCAGGTGGGATGTCCTGTGGTACGGCTGTCAGACCAAGCCCACTGCAGTTGACGATGGTCTGTTCACCAAATTTCTCTATCTTACATCCATCTGAATTTGGGGCCGCCTGCAGAAAAGACATGTCTGAAAATTAAATCATATACTGAACATTGTTCCAATTACGACTAGTGAGATGCAGGAACTAGAGGCAATATAAACACATACAGTGGCATTATACAAGTGAAGTGATTGGACAAAGTAATTTAGGTATCAGTGAAAATTGTCAGAAGCTGATCTGCCCAAAGACACATGGAAAGTTATCTTGATTCTCTTTAGCACAATGAAGAGCTACTCTTCCACTGGTTGTGACAAAGACAGATGCTATATACAGTAAAAATTTATCTATACACATGTATTAGGTTCATTGTACCATGGAAATTCTCTTCTACAAGAACCAATGAACACTGGACCACAGCTTAATGTCCTGTCCTAAGGACTGTGACCCTTAACAGTAGCGTGCATGTTGGATGAACGACAATAGCCTGAATTCAAACTCCTAACCTCTTGGTCCAGATGCAGGCCTAGAGTTGCTAACCACTTACTATGCAAGCCTTTATTAGTAAATGAATCGGCAATGTGCCGCATGATACATACCTGCTTGATTGGAACCTCAGAATACCGATATTGCAAGTCTGCTGCTATGCAGAGAACAAGTAGAAAAGATAGAAAGGCAGTGAGATTGATTTTACATATTTTTACCATACTGCCTCTGTCAGTAAGAACTTTGTCAGTAAGTTCCCAACTGTAAGTGTAGTGTTGCAGACTTAGCTACTGCATATCTGTTCTGTCCCTTCTTAGAAAGCAGGGACTTCCCTGTTTGGCAACATTAAGTCACATGCATGTTTGTATAAGCTGATGACCCAGGTGACTAACTCTGTACTTTGAACAGTATTGTTGTAACTTACAATGTACATGTACATGTAATAAAGGTTGTCATTTGAAGCTCGCTGGTGTTTGAGGTGTCAAAGTACATTGTATCATTATTTTGAATGCTGACAAACTGGGGTAGAACAATTGGAAAAACATATACATGTATGAACATGTACTTTGCAAACATGTCTAAGCCAAAATGGAAGCTATACAAAAGAATAGTGAGATGAACTGAAAAGATTCATCATACTCATAGATAGTGATGCATACCTAAACCCAATTTCAGGTTCAGGTCCGGATTCAAGTCCAGAGGTTTAGGTTCAGGTCCGGACTTAAGTCCGGACCTAAACCCATGGCATATACAAAATTGCATGTTGGCAACCTTGCAATGTTGTCTGGGTGAAACTTTGGCCACATAAAATGGAGGCTGGTACTTGACGATGCCCGATGGCAATGTTTTCTTCATTTTGCAGCAAAGATTTTGGAATCTACGGAAGGTTTTAGGTGGTTTAAAAAGAAAAGGGGTATGTGAAATGGTCTTTTATGGTAATAAGTCCGGACTCGGTTCTTGACTTTAAGGTTTTTTTGGACTTGAACCTAAACATTTTTACAAGTCCGGATCCAAGTCCAGTGAACCGGTATGCATCACTACTCATAGAGGACTTCTAGGATGACGTTAGTAACGGTTACTGAGTAATGTGAATGTATATACCACAATATCTTAGAGCAGAGCATTTGTTTCTTAACTGTCTTGATAACGATGCAAAGTACAAATGTAGTCTTTTAGCACAGATTCTGTATTGTTTCTCGAGTGTAATAGGTACATGTATTGTAGCAGTAAGAAGCTTAATCATAAGTTTGTATTATTCCAGGGAGCTGATTGAACTTCTAGCAGCATCCAAGCAGCAGAGAGGCAGTAGTGGAGGGGACAGTGGGGAGGAACAACAGGTATGAATGTTTTTTACTTCGGAGAAGGAAGTATTGTTTTGGGCTGTGTTTGTTATGTTTTTTTTTGTGTTCTTGTCCTCAGCAGGTTGTATTGGAAGTGAGTGGGATAAGATTGGGTTTCAGTTGATTGACAGGGTTGTGACAAGTTATGCCCTGGGTGGTAGGATGTGAAGTGAAGTTGTACCCAGTAGTATATTGCTATTCTGCTTCTGTTGCTTGCCTGTCCTTTAACTGTTGATAAACTCTTCACAGATGCTAGAGCTGCTGATAGAGAAAGATGAAGCACTACAGGAGTTACTAAAAACAGGTAGGAAACATTCATCACATTGAGTAGTAGAGCAGTGTACCTCTACACATTTTAGGTACAGGTACACAGATTTTGTGGCATTGAATTGCCATATCACAAGATTGAGAGGTCACAAGTTTGATTCAGTGAATTTCCAATATGCTACTGTACGTCCGTGGGAAAGGCACTTTACATGAATTTCCTTACTCCAGGTGTAAAACAGGTAGCTTACTTCGGTTTAGGGAGGTAAAAGGCAGTGGAAGTGCCTTCCAATACGGTGCCCAAGACACCCAAGTGGATCAACAACCCGCCGCCCCTATAGCCTTAAAAAAACTATAGGACTACCTCCATTACCTTACATGGATTTAGGTACAGGTCTGGACCCTCTAGCAGCTTTTCTTGGAACTGCAGGGCCCAAGTTTGATTGACACTTGGGAAGGTTGATTTGTATGTGTGTTTCCTCAGCCCGTGAACAAGGTGAAAGACACAAGGAGATGCTGGATCTTCAGACACAGGCAGAGAAGAGAGACAGAGACATCAGACAGCTACAGAAACAACTGAAGGAAGCTGAACACATATTGGTAAGAGTTACCCTTCTCTTCAGAGAGAACAAAATCTTTACAAAAGACCAAGAGAGAATCATGTTCTGCCAGGGAAACATATCATGTATATATGTGAACTTTTGAAAAATTATGTCTATGTATCTCATTATGTAGTTTTTGTGTTTGACTGTTTTGTGTTTTGTGTTGTTCACAGGCCCAGGCCCTGTACCAGGCTAAGGAGAAACTAAAGTCTGTCAACAAGGCAAATGAAAGTAAGGACTGTATCCTTACACAACTTACTTTACTTTAGTTGAGCTTCTTACAATGTACATTATGAACTTTTATCCAAATTTCACAAACAGGTATCAACTTTAAATGGACCAGTAACTTTCCAAATATTGTTGAACCATGTTGTCTTGTTTTATGTTGTATTTGATATGACATAACTGTCTTAAGTTTTCAAAAATTGTGTGGGAAAAGATATTGTCTGCAACGGGCAAAATTTAAGGTAGTGTCGACCAAAGAAAATCATGAAAAATTTGGATTTCATGCCAGTGCAGTACTTTCTACTGATGTGCTGCTTGGATTTCCTCCATGTCATCAAGTCAGTGTACAAATGTATGTAGCCTAACTAATATGAAGAACCAAGATTGACAGTTAGCTGTTCTTCCCTGTTTAGGTGGAGCAGGATCAATCTCCTCCGAGGAGCTAATCCGCTACGCCCGCCACATCAGCGCCAGCCACTCCGTCGCTGCGCCCGTCAACTGGGCGCCGGGCGACCCCAGACGACCCTACCCCCAGGACATCGAGATGCGCTGCGGCATCCTGGGAAGACTCAGCAAACTGCCCATGAACGGCCACACCCCCCTCCCCGAGGCCGGCACACCCGGGATGGTGATGCTCACTTCCCAACATTCCACAGCAGGGGTCAACACCGCACAAGGTAAGTACTCACAGTTACAAACTTTATTGTGATTGGATAGTAGCTTCATATAGTTTGTATCAATCCAGACAACGTTATCACATTTGTACTATTTTACGTTAGGAATGGTAAAAGCGCTATGATCAAATTGTTGTAAAATTCATGCCTGAGTTAGGCGTTTGTGCTTTCACACTATTAAAGGTGCTATACTACACAAGATGAGGTTAAAGAATTATTTTTGAAAGTAATCTGCTTTATAATTACAGCCATTTAGAAGTAAAGCTTCTCAGTAACAATGTAATTTCCTCCCTGCAGTTCTAAATGAAATCAGAAGGTGCGCTGTTAGAATATAGAGTTGGTCAATATGGAACATCACCTTGTTCATGACCATGGAATCATATAGTTAGGCAGATTGTACACCTATGGTGATGGTTTTTATGTATAAAGCCCCCGGAGGGATCAAAAGATTTCTCTTCACAAAGTATCAGGAACAAAAATGTTTAAGTTGAATATGAACTATTTATTGATGGCTGTTTGAGAACATGTAATGTGGTACTAAAATTTGACGACTCATGTGATGATTCATCTTACACCTACATGTACATGCCCATTCATTGTAGGATTACCATTGATATGGGAAAGTGCATTTTAACGCTTTCTTTATTACCACGCCATATACATTTACTTGCTGCTGTCTGCAATTATAATGCTTGCACATTGACCAATTCTTCATCTTTTATGACAATGCATACAGTGATTTTCATCAGTACTTGCTTGCACATGCAATGCCACCTTGCATATGAGACCAATATTTTTTTGGGGGACTGTATGCTCATTCTTGTGATTTCTTCGCAATACATACCTTTGCTCCTTTTACTTTGCATTAAAATTATTTTGTGTGCACACACTTGCTGGCAATGCTGGTAATTGCTGTAAGGCTATGCTCACATGCGGAGAATTTTTTGGCTTTGCATTGCGTATTCATGTCGTGTGCTTATACACTGGCCACCAGTTATGTTTTAACTGGTGATCACTGCAACGTTACAACCATGCTTTACTTGTGTGTGGGCTGCAGTAGTGTCCAACACCCACTCTTTTCTAACCACTACTGAGTGATGAATGAATGTTCATGAATTAGTAGCAACTGGATAAATTTTGGAAACTGTCACATGTTTCAAATAGCATCCACTACTTTTTGTCAGTGACTGATTTCAAAATCTATACAGTTTCTTGAGTAATAGCTCCCTTTTCATTCTACTCTGAAAGAAAACTGCCACAAAAGTTTGATGATTTACTTCCTCTCACTTCCAATGATTCCTTTCTGGGTATTTCAGAGTCATCTATGAATAACGACGGTGTGAACTTTGTTCACAGTTTTTGTCTCTATTGGAAAGATTAAACTTAACTCCTGTGCTGTAATACCCTTTGTGCAACATCCAGACTATGATTACTTTTCTGGAACAGTTCCATGATATTACTAGCCACAGTAGTCTGCACACACAGATTTCCATGCGTGGTTAGAGATTAACATGCAGAACATGCCTGGGCTAGCTTTTAGCCCAAAGGGATAACATCTTTTATGGTTATTAAGCATATGGTGATAAAGCAAGACTGTACAGGACCTGTGATAACCAGTCGTGTTAACCCCCTGTTTTCGTCCCTCCAAGCACCCAAGTAAAACAAGCTTGTATTAAACCTGTTGCCTCCCAGACTGATGAACAGATTCAGAAGCTGTGTTAGAAATACTGATAACTGCATATCCGCATGAATATGGACGAGAGCCAGCGCATTTCGGATGCTCGTTACTGGCCGTGCATGGCGTGGTTTCCAATGTGTAATTTTTCGGAAGGAAGCGAACAGTTTTATTCTGCGATGATTCACCAGCGTGGGAGTGAAAGTTCTATATGTGTTTTTTGGGGGGATGTTAGTAAAATGGTTGCCCCAACTTTGTGGCATAGATGTCAGATTCACTATACAATGTATTTGCTCCAGGACAAATTCATCATTGTAATAGACAATCCTGCCCGTCCATCACAATTATCAGTTCAACCAATGAAAGCACAGCAGTTAGTGGTTTGACCAATGAGAGAGTGGCAATATCTTTCAAAAATTTGCCTTTTCTTTGCTATTTATTTTGCGTTTCTACATTTTGACAGAGGTGGGTGGGACTATGGGATTGGTCTAATGTTCTATGAATGTACTCAGGATGTACATGTAACACAGAGTTAGAGACTAGATGTGACATTAATAAGGATTACTTTTGTTAGGTGATGTTTTTGTGTGTTTTGAGAGCCGAACTGTTTTTTGCAGACGGAATGGGAACATCCCAGTCCTCATTGTCATGGCAACCATCGGCAGACTTGTCGTCGGGTGTCTCCACCTCAGCCAACCACACGGGAGAGATCTCGGTGGAGATCGGCAAAAAGGAGAACGATGATGACGTAGAAGTTATGTCAACTGACTCCTCTTCCAGTAGTTCAAGTGACAGTAATTAGTTATCCTACGGTATAAGTAGATGTTTTGTCGGCATAACGCCCTGTGCCTGTGCAAAACCCATAATGTATTGTACATAACACTTTGGCAGAACATCTAATTTAAGGTCGTATTCGTGTATTTAAAGATGACATTCAATCTATAGCTTTCAAATGTTGTGTTGTAAAAGATATCAGCTGAGAAAGACAAAATTGGACATTGACCAAACATCCAACAAAAAATTTGGGTTCTACACAGGCACAGTTGCATGTTCTGCCGACATTTTACAGTATGTTGTTGTAAATAGTCAAGAAACTATTTATTGTCAGTAAGGCCATACTTATTTCATTACATGGATGTCATCATGTAGGCACCCCAAAACTGATGTGCGAAAAGTTTGGAAAAAAGTTGCCTTCATATGAAATCTAAGTGGTCAGAAAGCTTGAACAAATAACTGAACAGAGCATATTATTACCTAACAATAAATTTTCTAGTTTTGTTGACTCACATCTTCTTTGACTTTGCTAGACTTGGTGTGACTTTGCTAGACTTGGTGGTGCTCTATCATCCTTCAAGCACTGTTACAGAAAGGAACAGCATGGTTGCAAAATTTTTTTTCTTGAAAATGGACAAAAATTTATTTGTGCATGGATGTCATCCATTCATGTATAATCGAGTCAGTGTTGTCTGAATGTGAAATATGCAGAATTGATGTGCCCAGATGATGCTCAATGTTATAGTATAGATGATGTGTATTATTTCAATCACTAGGTAGAAGACCACCATGATCATGAATAAACTTGTCACAGTAAGAATTAATTTGAAGCAATCAAACCTAATCTTGTCACAATGAGAAATAACCTTAAGCAATGTAACAACCTGTATCTGTGTAATCTAAAATTAGTTGACTTAGTGCATTGATACACCAGTCAGTAGAAGTGTAAAACTGCTATGTGTAGCTAGAAACACATTTGTTTGTAGCCAAAAAGCAAGACTTAGTCATGTGCGCGCACACACACACACACACACACACACACACACACACACACACACACACACACACACACACACACACACACACACACACACACACACACAGAGTTACAATGTAAGTTTTGGAAACTCTTCTAAGTTCATCCAGATATCAAATTAAGAAAAAAATGCAGCCAGGACACAGGTATGTACATATTTCTGTCCTACAGCACTTTGCAACTCATTGTGCACTTTTAGTGCTTTTGTAGACCTATAACACTCTTCTTCCAAAATGCTTTTTGTTGCATTCTCTTTTATGATTTCTGTCCAGAGATGTATTTTTAAGGAACCTGTATAAAGTACTGTGTTTTTTGTTTACTACATGTACTTGTAGTCCAAATAAGATATCTCTTGTCAAGCTGTTTTGAAAATTATGAACATGTGGTAGAGTTTACATTGATGTCACATACAGCTACATGTAAATGTAATTTGTATTAAATTCTTATGAAAAAAATTAAACATTTTTCATTCTCTTTATTGTTGTTGGAAGACACAGGAGGCCCTTTTAAGTTATTGCTGTAGGGGGGTCCCAAATTTGAGGTTTCAAGGGCAGAAACATTTGTATATGTATTATAAAAGTCTTTTTCAGACAAGTTAAGAGGGAGTATCAGATTTTTTATGGAAAATGTTCCATGATTCTGCCAAAAATTATACAGAGAAGGCATGAAGTCTGATAAACTAAAACTAACAATGTGTGCTGCACAAAATATACTGTCAGTGCTCCACTGTGTGTCAAAGTCAAACTGTTACACCATTATGAATACCCGACATGTAGAACCAGATTTGGAAAGTGATTGTGCTAAGTCCTCTCTTCCTCCTTGCTTAATGACATGCATTCCTCATGAGAAACGCTGCCTTTGTTGCCGTGTGTGCTCCGCTGAACAAATTCTCCTCCAATGTGCCAGGCCAAATGGAGAGTAACATCGGTAAAGACTCTCTCATGAGTCATCTTTTCCAACGAGATGAAGGGGGAATTTGTGCTCTGTTTCATTTCATCAAGAAGGATGCCCTGACTTGTGTATATGTAGAGGTAACAGGCCCTTAGCTGAGTTTGCAGGAAAAGTTACACAAAGTAGCCACACATCTCAATTTACCCTTGCCAACCATGCTTTACTTGCTATTCATTGCAGAGGTGTTAGGAGAAATGAATGTAAGGTTTCTTGAAAAACTTGTCCTCAAAAACATTTGTTACTTCTGAGACAGAAGTATTGTTTTGGGTGGCGCTAGACTTGTTTGGTTTCCATAGTGAGTGGGTGAAGATTAGGTTTCATTTGATTGACGAGTTTGACTTCGTTATACACTGGTATACCCAGGGCTCAATGATGTTGCCAGGAATGTATGAACCATGGTGTAATAGTTGAGTATGTTTCATCATACAAGCATATGAGTGTTACACATGTATGTTGCATTCTATGACGTAATTCATTAATGCAAACTACTTCCCTGAGGCCTGAAATCTCTGACTTCTTGTTTCAAGTCTGACATCATTAATAGTGGTTTGTACCGGATTTCAGGGGAAAGGAGCGTTTCATTTTTAGACCTGACGCACAGAGTAGGAGTGGAAGAATCATCTGTGAAAGGGTGATAAAGTCGCTTGGCTGCCAACCATTACAATTGATACGGCCGAGGAAAAACCCGTTTCATTTTGCTGCACTTACCACATAAGCCCAGAAATGGTTCGGCCAGGGAACGCGCAGTCCCTGTCATGCCATTTGCGTCCATTAGAGCAAAAGGTCAAAAACATTTTAAGCCACGGCAGTGCTCTTTGCAATGATTTAGTGCTGATGCCGGGCAATTAAGGAGCCGGCACAGAGAGCTATTTTCTCGGGCGCTGATTTAACGTTGAACTGCCGCCCATCAGTCGTCGGGAGAAAAGTTGCAAGTTGGGAGAATATACGAGCCGCGCGGCTTTATGAGGGGTGACTCACATGTACGCAGGTCGCTGTACTAACTGGTGAGACAGTGTCGTATGGATTGATGCAGATCCCCATTAAAAGCGTATCATATTGTTCTTAATGGGATCATTGACCCCAGAGTTATGCCCCATTTTATATCCCAGTGTGAACGTTTTTACAAAGATGACACCATCAATCATATGGCAACCTGCTTCATCTACAGGTGTCAGGGCAAGAACTGCAGAGTTTCTTTTTTTAATACATTTTAATGAAGAAAATATGATGATGAGGAGGATTCAGTTTGTTTCTTTTTGCACACATTGAAGCACAACATCAGAGCCCAAGGGCTGAATTGCAATTCACTGTGCACTCATTGTAATAATTACAGTTAAAAGACATTTAAAAGACTATCAGGCACTGTGTTGGTTGTTCACAATACTTTCAAAAGCATTTCGCAACATGGTAGTGTTCTGTTCACAAAATGGGAGGTTCAACATTTAAACAGACTGGAGTTGTGTGGGTAACATTTCTAAGCTTCCTGCTATGGCGTGGAAGTAGCCAGGTTAGTGGCACAGACAAGGAATTTGGCAAACATAAGTTTAGTTTGGTCTTTCTGTCTTATGTACTATCATACATGTACAGGGGAGTTTAAGTACATGCCTATAGTACATGCGTGATTTTCAAACTGTCACTACTTCCTGAATTCCTCCACAGTGTCCACACAGCACATGCTGGGTCAACTTCCTCCCCATCAATCAATTGTCCAAATCACTTCCCACCCACCATGCAACTAAAGCTATTAGGACAAGCAGAGACACAGAGTCCACCACTCAGCTACCCAAAACAATACTTCCTGTACCAGGAAATACATATTCAATACGTGAAACAATGACAATCGAAACCAATCAGAGGTCTTGCAGATATTTTACAATGGCATGTAAATTCCAATTGTTTTTCTCTTAAGTAGTGCTGGACTATTTGAGAAGAGCGAACTGCAGCTAGACTAAGATAAATGCCAGGCTAGTGCAGGTGGGCGAAAAGTCAAACCTCTAGGTACACATTAAGCCACACTCCTTTCATTCCTGTCGGTAAGATTATTAGATTTTTAACAAACCGTGCATTCAGTCCTACACCAGTGAGTCAGATTACCTTCTTGGCGAAAGTGGAGTTTGTTTAGAGAAATCAGCGGTGCTTTGAGCTGATTGAAGGAGACACTGACACGACTGTTCTGGAACAGGGCTGCAAATTAACTAATATACCCACCCAGACAGCTTACATCAAATTAGATTTCTCAGCTACCCAAGTCCCAACAGTGGCCTGAAACTGAGCTATGTAAGTTGTCAATTTGAAACAACGTAAACAGTATTGCATAGCCTACAGTCTTTAGTGGTCAATCTGCCTGCGTATACAAGTCAGTCTGGCAAATCTATGCTCATTTTTGGTGACAAGTCAATGTCGTATGTAGCAGAGCATATTTATTTTTCAGGTCATCGGAGGTGGGTTTCTGGAAAAAGTGGGGTGGTCTACCTTGCCAGTCTACCCCTCAACTGGCCCAGTATATGGCTCTGAGTCAGAGTTAACCATCCCAGAATTCACTATATGGCAAGGTGGTCATGTGGTTCAGTGTGTTGTATTATAATCTGAAGGTTCTGGGTTTGAATCCCTAGCAGCAGGTCCCTATGTTGTGCTCGGGAAAGGCACCTTTACACCTTTACACCTATTTCATCACTCGACCTGGGTGTGAGTGCCTCATGAGTACATTTATCTAGCTTCAGATAGGGACATTCTCTTAGATGTGATGTAAACCTGGAGGGCCTGTGTTTGAGGTGAGCCACACCTTGAGAACATTAAAGAACCCATCACACATACATGTATCAAAACGAGTGGTCCACCCCAGTGTGAGTGGATCAAACCCTACTGTCTGGTCTTATGCGGCTCGAACGTTTACTCTACAAAACTGGTGTTTTACTACTTAGCAATACCTAACTTTACTGCCACACGCACTTTTATGATTAAATGGTAACAGTTGGAATATGTTTCTTGCTCAGGAAAGTTTATCAACACAGCTCAATTTGCTGGTGTGGTCAAGCATCTTGATAAGAGAGGAAAGTGAAGAAAGTTGAAGAAAGTTTTTGTTTAGGCCGAAGTTGAGCTTTAAGAACAGGATTTGGTTTTAAAAAAGGAAGTTTGATTAAGTTTGAGAAAGATCTATATCCTTACCCTTGAGTTTTAATTAATACAAGAAAGGGCACCTCCTAGCAGGATCCTTTCAAATTGCAACCTGTGAATTATATACTAGTCAATCCTACATGTATAATCTGAGTAAGAATAACACAATAACGACCAGGACACAGAAGTTGAGATTATACTCTGATACTTTGCTTTACTAAGCAGCTGGCTGTGGAGGCCATCATAACCAGAGTATGAAAGAGAAAACACACAAATTATTGGACAAAACACATATAAATCAAGCCAAGACTAGCATATGTTGGAAAGTGAACGTTAAACGTTTCTAGTAAGCCATAGTTCAGTGTACATCCACTGTTTTTTTATATCATCATCATACAACACTACCGACTAAGCCTCGCAACAATGGAACACAAGTATGCAACTCTGCACGTTAGTGTAGTATGGAAGGATGTTGTCTCATACTGAGATCTTCTCTGGCTGCGATTACAATTTTAGAAAAATAAAACTAAAAATACTGGATCTAGGAAAAAAGAAGACTAAAACGTTAGCTCTGATCTCACCGAAATGGATCGGTGTCCTTTCCACACTAATTGCACGAGCCTCATTTCCATGATTGAAGGAACACTCCGCACTGTGCAGAAATGCCCTTTTGCAACTCATTTGTAACAACCTCTTCTGTTTGTCTATTGGCAGCCAATGACAACACACAATGTGTGCAGAGAAACTGCTTAGATGTTACAGGTACCGTGATTGGATGGCTGGCTAATGGTACATAATGCTTCACGGCTCTGTTTGTCATTCGACTGTTCGGTGGTCATTTCTCCAGAGTTTTAACTAATAGTAATACAATGTAGTTTGCTACACATCTATACTAATTAAACAGAGCAAAGCTGTCTCAAGTGTTTCTTATACATTAACTCATCGTGCATGTACTTATGTATGTAAAGCTAATATTTACCAGATTCCCACCACTCCATTTCTCATCTAGTGTCTGTAATATTGTCAGACATTGAAACATTTGTGTACTGTAATTAGATTATATCTCGACTGTCACCAAAGACATTATAATTTGTAAATTGTAGTGAAGTTTTGTGTTGTAGTTTGAATGTTGTCAATTTGGGGAAGGAAGCAAGTACCTAGATGATTTCCATCCCCACTACATCTGTTCAGTTTTCAGTTCTCTGAAAAACTTCTGCAGGATTTATCAGGTTTGAAGGTTACGTCTTTTAAGTTTCACTGTTGCCATCTGAATTGATGGGAAGCTGGAGAGTAAATCTGCCTAGAGGCCAAACATAAGAAGCCTGACCTTACAGCAGCTAAGTAGGTACAGAGGCAGTACTGAATACAGTACTGAGTGGAAACAGTACTGGGAACAGTACTGGATCTGTCAGTTCAGTATACACTGTAACATGGATCAGAATACATGCTTTCCAGCAAGAATAGCAATGTATACCAGCCTGGACTTAACGTTGGCCGTCGCAAGCATGTTCTGCTTCGGAGGAAATCCTTATGTGAAAGAATTCCTAGTAATTTCTATTCACTAAGCCACAAGGCATTTTGTAACCATTTATTTATAGTAACAATGACTTCTATCATTGTAATTATAGGATTGTATTTTCTAAAATTTTTCATTTTTGATTTTTTTTTCAATTGGATGGAAAATAACTACAAGATGACATTCATTACAATTGACGATAATTTTGTCATCCTTAAAATAGAAATTAACTTTAGGTAGTAAAATAATGTTGAATCTTAACTAAGAACAAATGAACAACAAACCTGATATGTGAAAGATATAGAAAGTTGTTTCAAGAATTGTAGCTCTACATTTTAGAATTTACAATTTCTAGATTCCATTCCCACTTTGCTAAATTCCTAATTTAAAATTCTAGCACTACCCCTACAATGTTATACACAGGATTAGCATTGGTGACATTACATAGTTCAAACTGTAGTCACAATACTCTCTACTATTCATACAATAAGAGAACTTCAGATTTTTTTGTCTACATTAAAAGTACACATAATTCTACCACCTCTCCAACAGCTAGATGCATTCAAAATTAGTGCACTTCCATATTTGGTAGTGAATTCACATTTCGAGTACATTACATGATGAAAGTCATTCATTCAATCCATCTTTATAAAAATTCTAGCTCCATAGAAACAATTCAAGGGAAATTCAATTTTGATTCAATTAAATTTTTTGCTTTCATAGATACATTGATTGGGAAATTCTGCACTACAAGTCTAATCTTACTATTCCTACATTCTCTATCAACCAGTCCTAGATCATCAAGGTCACCAGTTTCCAAGATGGCAGCCCCGTGCTCACATTGGAAGCACAATTTGCACTAAAAATCAATGTTCCCTCAAAACTGCACAAACCATCCTCTTTACCCCCATCCAATCATCGTGTATCCAAGGTCAGAACTAAAGTCATGAAGTTGCCGTTCTTGATTCCAGAATGGCACCACCCACATCACTTTTTCATCTCGGTGCTTAGTTCACACGTTCAGATGCGTCGGGCGTTGGATACAGAGGAGTTGGTGAGACATTGTGGGGACGGTGTGAAACATGGCTACAAATTTACATAAACGGGAATTCTGATTGTTTTCTCACATTAAGTGCATCAGTGGAAAGTTTTTTTTGTCACTTTGTCAAGAATAATGGTTTGTACGTTATTATGTTTGGCAGCCCATTCCTTATGCTAATCCTTCTCGTTTAACCCTTTTCCCTCCACAGTCTTCACCATGCCAAGTCCTTCCCTAGCAGCACCTGATGACGGTTAAAGGTAGCACCGGCTCGGAGCTTTTCCCTCAGCTATTTTACAAGCGCGTGTTCCCCACAGGGTTCTTCTTTACAACTCGTTCTTATTAATTTACATGCTAGGCATGCCTCAAGCGCCAGGAAATAGTCACTACAGGCAGGTGATTTGGGGGGTTCCGAGTCACATGGAATTTTCCTATCATTTCTGCTGTGACCTGTCCTGCAGTTCGCAGTGTGCCTATGGCTTCAGACTTTGTCCTTCTTTCTGTCCGCCCGTCATGACGGACCTTTGCCACGATCAATCTGTGATTGAGGAGCCCCCCAAAACACCCTCCACATGGCCTTCGGCCCATTGGATCAGTGGTGCAACAACACAATGCTTCACAAGCATTTTTGTTTCAGCTGGATCACTCTGCCCTCGAGCAGTCTCTAAAAAATGACCATTTCTTTGCGTACGTACGTTCGTGCTTTGCACAATATTAGGACAAATATAGGAACACTGTTATCAATCATTATGAAAAAGTTCATAGGAAAATTATGTCCACAATTTACACATTAATAATAAAAATTAAATGGCTTTGGTTTCGACTGCTGCCATCTGGGAAACATTTGTTAGCACCTAAAGGGGGGAGAGAGAGCAACATACATATTCTAGAAGTATCTGTCAAGTGGAGAGGGATTTGAGATTCTATCCAGTAGTCGTAGTAACAATGCTATTTTATGATGTCACGACAGAGCTGCCAGGAATCCAATTCCCCACGTTTGCGTAGCCGAATGTGGCGTACAAACTTTTGCCTTCGCCTACATTCATGACGCAAAGGTGGACGGAAAGGCCCAGCTGCGAATGCAACGCGATTTGACGCTGCATTTGCTGCTGAGAGTCAGAACGGCGCAGACGGTGGCTGTGTCGTTGGTTGGATTGTTGGCAGCTGTGCGGTGTGTGGGTCAGCGTGTCAGACTATGGTGGTGGCGGTTGGCAGGGATTGGCCGGCGGGCAGGTGGTAGTACTTGCACATCGGGCGGGCACACTTCAGCTTCAAAGCATCCCGGCAGACCGTAACCTTCCCATCAACCACTTCAACATGGTCTGCAGAGACAACAGAGGAAGAGGAGAAAAAAAGCACCCGTCAATCAAGATGTCGACCCACAGTGGCTACATGGTATGTACATTGAATTTTAATTCATTTTGGATCAGGGATGTCTCCAGAGCAGTAGCTGTCTTGGTAGATAAAGATTCAAGTTTAAAGTTTTCATCTAAAAGCAAGGAAAACTGACTTACTAAAATGATTTTTGACCAAACCTTTGGCATTCCACACTTTTTTTGGCTTTTACAAACTTGTACCAAAAGTTGGTTTAACTCAAGATTGCCCATGGAGGCATCCTTGCTGATATAATTTAATGATTCCTAAATGATAAAGATAATTTCTAGCTAGTGACTATGAGCCAAGTGAGGTTCATAAACTCTATAACACTTCTCTCTGGTCAGCTGCGTAAAGCAGGTGCAGCAAAGGGTGATTGATAACAGAAGTGAGCACTGGCCAGTGACTGTTGTATACATATTTTGTACATTTTAGTTCTATCATGATAGTACACTGTAATATATTGCCAGTCATTATAAAATCAAGATCACTTGATTCTTCCCAACAGACTAAGGTATACTTTTCACTACTGAAGGGATCTTTGCTGTATTGATGACAATCCATTGTACTTTCAGTTGAGAAGTCAGTGGCTTTGATTATATAAAAGGACAAAACCCCTAAAAATTTTGAAATTAGACCCAACTTTTAAAACTTTAATAGTCTACATGTATGCAAATCTCAATAGGTTTTAGCATTAATTTGGATGCTGATAACCAAGTTTATTTTTATTTTGGGGTTTCTTGGGGTCCCGGAGAAGGTCGTCAGATTTTTCATCTTTCAAAAGGGTTTTGTACTAGAAGTACTGTGTAGTTTCCCGTGTCTATGTACTAGTACTACCTACTATAGGAAGCAACATGTTTCCAGCAACATATCACTAGTAGGTAGCAGCACTTTGTTCCGCTTAGGCATCTCTTTTAACAGCTTTGCGGCAGAAGCAAAGGGCTAGGAAAACTTATGACCATTTCTGAACAAAAGACGGTACTTTCCGATTCCGACGGAACATGGCAAAATCCCAGAGGCTCGGGAGGGCAAAGCTTTAAATTTCTGGCAGGACTCGCAGCAAGCAAAATGGTGGAGAAGTTTTGGGAGTCCATACAACCTACAAAAACTGCGGTATGCTGGCAACGGTCCCATCCCACATCCCGGCCATGGGCTGTTGTGATGATGATGGTGGGTAGTAGTATGGTGGGAAGATTGCATGGGGTGTGGCCTCACCTTCCACTAGGTGCACGTAACGGCAGTTTGGTCGTTTGCAGTTCCCGGCCTTGAAGTCACGGCAGACGGGCAGCTGGTCCGTAGGCTGTGAACGAAGAAGGCAGGCCGAGGGAAGGAGACGAGAGATTACATTATAACAGTAGCGGAGGCCGTTGTATGTCTTTTTGTAATGACAACATCAGGGAATTCGCAACAATAAAATTGTACAGAGCACTAAAGACAAGACAACAGCACGACATGCACCAATCACAACAGTTGGTTACGTCAGGTGACCACATACCAATGTCACACGACCTAACCACCTGTAAGCTACTGCCATATTTGGGCTCCAGGAGTAACAGATACAAGGATGTGCAGAAGGGGCAAATCATACGCTTGGAGTGGGGGGAGGGGGTGTTTTAGACAATGTTAGCTTTAGCACCAGAGCCTACCACCAAGATTTGCGAATACATGTAAGTTTAGGGTGAGGGTGGGGGGCATTTTTCCTGACCCTTTATCCCATTAGTTTTGTTCCCTTCTGCACATGTCATTCATAAATGTAAAAAACAACATGGATCGTCAATCAGTTAATAATCAAAGGCAATATAATAATTGGAAAGAGCCAGGTCCCAAAATCAAGAACTGTCTTGGCAAGACATTGCAAGATTGAGGAGTTGAAGTTGCACAGGTGTCATCATTTTTTATCAAATTGAAGAGTGGCACTTAAAAAAACAACAGCTTCTTAGACCTGTGCAACATTAAGGAATCAATCCTCTCTCACCTCCTTTTCAGAAAAATTTCTCTTAGCAAATATTTTTTTCTCGTGTTTACCGAAGACCTTCAGTATACCAATGAAATGGTGTTCGTTTCTGTTTCCTTTCAAGGGTTTTGGTCTCTCTCTCTCCCAGCTTTGGTTCAATCCTGTGAATGTCTGCACGTTTGCCAAGTCTTCAGGTACTGGCTTTAGGCAGCAGAGTTTTCATGTACACTACTGCTCTGCAGCTCTAGTCACACAAGAACAGAAAACAGTTTGTAAAGACCAACTAAACTATGTGAAATGAAAACAGGGCCAACCTGGTTTTGTGCATTGAAGTAAGGAACATTGGAAGCTGCAGTGGCTGCACCAGCGGGAGCAGGGAGCATCATGGGAGCTATGCAGGGGGTATGTGATGCAACCATGGCAACAACAGTAAACAATGGCGGGCGGTTGGCGATCAAGCACAACGCACGCAGCATGCAAAGCAGGTGCATGGAAAACAATGGAGAAAAAGAGAGAGCATTAAATTAGAAACATGCAAAATATTATTACTAGGATAGACAGCGTTACGCTCTACAAGTTACGCCCCTTTCTACATAGTCATCACCCTGACCGACACTACGGTAAATTAGCTACAAATGTGCGCGTCTGAAAATAGTGAACATGATATTGCAGAAATACCACACTCAGCAACACTTGGGCAGATATGTCTAGTGACGGTTCTACATATAGCCTACTGCTGAAGAGCAATGAGAGAGCTACATGGCATCTTTCTATCAGACAGTGAAGTGAAACATTTACAAATACTGTGAAATAGCTTATTTGCTTTCATACAACAATACATACATTGGGAAAGGCAAAAGTAGGTAGGGAATCGTTCTAGGTCTACCAGACACTTAGGCTAACGGCATCGGAACGAGAAGCATGAACAACACAGGTGCAAGCCACATCACCAGCCGTAGAACAGCTCGCACAACATCAGTGCAACTCTTCTCATCAAAATCTTCAGTGACCCTCCCACCCTAAAATGGGCAGTAAAAGCTTTGATTTTCTCTGTGCCTTGAAAAACTTTTGTGCGAAATTTTGTTTTGAATATACAGAATTGAATGTCCCAGCTTTCGAAACAACTTTTGCTTGAAGTCATTTTGAAGTGAAGTTATTTACCCTTACCTTACTGTGTTGTCCCTTCTTAATCTGATTCAGATTTTCTTGAATGATTTTGGCAATGAATGACTTTTAGGCTTTTTGAGATGGGTGGTCATGTTTGCAGTGAAAAACTACATGTAACTGGTCAATCCTATTTGTGTCATATTTGAAACTATATTTTACTTTTTGTGAAATGTTGATACATACCTCAGAAAATTCATAGCTAACTGAATACATATAAATATTGTACGAGCTTGATTGAATTTTGTCAAGACTCCCTGAAGCTAGTTGATTTGGTAGTCTGGGGTTTGAATTTTGTGTCTCATTATCAGGAATGCCTACAGAGTTGCACCAGACCCTGTGCAAGTGGTCAGCAATACGTGGTGCAGCAAGAGGCATCATGGTGCAACACTGCACCCCGCCTACTGCCCAATGCGATCTGTCGTTTTTCGGGGGAGGGCGGAGCTCTTTCTGCCTGAGCTACCAGGCACCAGGATTGTGCGGAATGATGCGTGAGTTTTAGACAGCCGTGACAACGGTTAGAACTGGCAACACTGCATCTGCAGGTTGGCTATGTATATATATAAGTTTGTCGAGTGCAACTGCCAAACGAAGCGTAAAGTGGGAATCTGTGATGTCCTGACCCGTCCGTGGACCATGTGTGGCTTGATGGGATTGTTCGTGCTACCCGACGCACGCCGAACGTCAGACTCAGGGGGCAAACTCACGGAAGGCAGTACCCGTGGGGACAAAGGGCTGTTGGCCCTGCTGGAGTTGCATAGAGGCGATGGCTTGCTGGTACTGCGCGGCAAGTTGGGGGTTGTACAGTGTGCTTTTGTCCAGGGTGGGACGCTTGGCGTACGGAACCATGCCAGGTGGGAATCCCTGTGGGCGGAAGGAGGGGAGACGGTCATGAGAACAAACTTTCCATGTCAGAGGTCACAGGTCAAATGTCATCAAACCAATCCTTCATATGGTATGGGATTCAGATTGGCACTAGTGGAAACTGCCTTTCTTTTTGGTTGCCAAATTGTGTTAGTTGTTTGTTAATGTTAAAGGTTAGAGAATACATAAGCACGCACATTCCAGCTGTTTTGGCACAATCTAAAGGGCCTAGTGTCCTAAATTAGACTCAATACAAATCAACACTTGTTAATAGTTGAGATATAATACAATGCAAAATTCAGTCTTCAGATATGCTGGAAATGCGACAACACTCCTATTCTACTTTTCTAGGTCACTTTTGTGTAACTTGACTTTTGTTTTGCTCTATAAGGGAAAACAGTAGCGACAGGAGGTCAAATATATGAGTGATCTGGTAAAATGGATATAGTGAGATGGCTGACTTGGACAGGTAAGTTCTGGTTGGCAGTGAGTTAAAGTGGGTTGGTGGGGGAGGGGGGCAGGCGCATGCTACGCTGCTTAAATGTGGGGTGCAGGACAGACAGGTCAGTGCTAGAAACTCTCGGCTCAGTGCAATTGCATGGTGGAATGAATGCTACAAGCTTCAAAAGTGATGTTTTAGAAAGATTACATTCAGCATGAGTTTTCTTTGTTTTTACATAACTGTATTTGTATGTCGGATGCAAAATGAAGAGCCACATGCAGTCACCATTTTCAGGCCGAAACAAAAATTCCATTCTTTTCTGCAGCAGTTCTGTTTGTTTGGTTGTTGCGTATGTAAGTATCCTACATTAAATCAGGCACTAATGATTCTTGTTATATACAATATAATATATATATATAATACACAGGCTGTGCAATGTAGCTGGGATGTGCAGCTGGCAAATGAAAGGGCGGCCATTTCTGAAGATACCCACGACCATATTCTGATCGGCGCCTATGTTTCCTCTCCACTGAAGGTCACCCTGGTCACCTCCATCGTCAAGGTCAAAGCTATGACAGAGGACTGCCGGACTATTCTGAAGGAACACTCTCAGTGTAAGTTTTTAGGAAATATCAACACACAAAATACAGATCATCTGATATTACAAACTAAAAAAAAAAATTTGGAAGAGTCTATTCTGTGAACAAGGGGAGGCAGGGTACACCATACAGTTGAGAGGTAGCATGGCTGAGACATGTAGAACACAAGATATCAAACAGATCCATATTATACAGAACCTTACACCCTACCAACCCTTACATATAAGACTAGATCAAAAGTTACCCAAATTATTAACAGTGCGTTCAAAGTATTCGCCACTCCCCATGAATATTACTGTTCCACTTAATAACCACAACCTTACAACAAAATTCCAACGACATTAAACCTTACAGTCACATCGAAAACGTCTTCGGGTAAGATGTTAGACCAAACGATTTTTTTTTTTTTCGAACGACGACTATAGTACGTCTACGCTTCTACAAAACTAGGCAACATGCAAGCAAAGATAGATACCAGTAAGTCGTCCGAGGGGTCTCGGAGACGCTTCAGGCTTTGAACTTTGTCAGGCGTCTGCGTAATTAGTATGCGGAGCACATGATGGCAATGGGCCATAGGGGTTGCAGAGGCAAAACGATTTGTACAGCAAGCAGTGTGCAGCAAGCATCATGGGGAGAGATGGATAAAACAAAAACAGCAATTGGAATGCGGTAAAGAAAAAACGGCATGCAAGGCTACAACTAAACATGAAGACCTCGTTTCTTTTTCTTTTCTCAAATAACCATTACCCAGGTACAATGTACATTTTTACAATTGTATACATCAGTGGACAGTTTCACAAATTCTTTTAAGAACTTCTCAGATGAGAATCATCACAGGGAATGAAAGACTGGTTAATTTGTTGTAGGAAATCGAAATAGAGTTAGTCAAACATGTAGAAAGACAGAGAAACACTAAAGGTAATTTTAGATGAACAATTCTGCATCTGCTAGTTAGATTAAATTTTGTCCCCGCAAATTATTTTCTTGCAACTTGTAGAATACCATCAATGCATAAGATATTCAATTGATTGAATTGGAAGTACTGTGGAGACCAGGTACGAACCAGTAATGTTTGTCAGCAAAACTGCTTTGAGAGACCATAATTTACATGTATAGAGTAATAGAAAATGTTTTTAATCTAGTTTTGAGTACAAAGCCATAATTTCTGAAAGTCTCCACTGATCTGAAATAATTTTACATTACAACCTCCGAGCCTTGCATAGACCATCCAGTCAGTAAAATACAATTCACTATCATCTTAGGTCATAGAATGAATATACTGCACTATATGCAGAAATTGTACCACAGTTTAACACACAAAAATGCAGGAAAGAAATAGAAAATGGACAAAGTAATATGTTATATTCTATAATAGTATAATCACTGTGTATAAAACACAACTCACCATGTCTAAAGTCCCAAGAGGGCTCTGTGTCCAGGTTGTGCAAGAATGCAGCGCAAACTAATTAGTAAAGGTGCAAGTTGGACAGACTACAAGTGGTGTGAAAATCCCAGGGAAAACATGCAATTACAACATTCTACATTCTTCAGGTTAAAACATTAGTTAGTGCACAACCGTCAATCATGGAAGCAAGAAGAATGGACCGATCCATAGATTAGACATTGGGTATAATACAGTTCATGTAACAGTTACTGTTGCAATCTGGCATGTTTGCTAGAAAGCGCTTCATCAAACATTGGGAAGTGGTGTAGTACCCAGTTAAATTGCATCATACAATCCCTTCCCAGAACACTTCCTGGACATCCGTGAACTTGAAGGTCATAAAAACCCAAGATACTACCAGGAAGTCTGAAACCCAAAATATGTCCAGGAAGTCTGTAATCCTCGATTTTCAGTTTGGACTCCTTTTTGACAACATTTGTTTTGTAAAAGCTTGTACTTTTTTTTACCGCGTATAGAAAATGTACTGTTTTGATCAGAGGTGAAGCTTTCTAATGAAACAGTAAGGAGTCCCAAGTTTGTCCCCAGACCAATCCTGACCATCACAATTAGCAATTCAACCAATAACAGCATGGCAATTAGCAGTTTGACCAATGAGAAGCATGTTTGCAAAATCTTTGCATCCTTATATTTTTATTTTTCATTCTGATGCAGGTGTGCGGGGCTATGGGATCGTCCATCAGTGCCAAGCTTCTTGCTTCCACAAGTTCTCGACTATCGCAGATGAAGGTAAGGAGAAAATATCCACAGGACAATGAAAGAGCAGAGATGTAGAAGCAGGAGGAAGGGGAGGTCCTACCATGGCAGCTGCGGCCTGCTGTGCCTGGTGCTGAGCTGCCTTGATCTTGGCCTGCAGGTGGGGGGGTGGGTGGAAGTACTTGCATTTCTCCCGTGTGCAGCGACCCTTGATATAGTCCATGCACACTGTGACACAGTTGTCGGATGTGTCGACTGTTACCCCCTCGGTAGGGTGGGCATATTTACAGTCATTCTCTCCTCTTGTGCAGTTTCCACGCTGAAACTCACGGCAGACCTGCTCGTAGCACAACACAAGGACGAAACTTTTGTGTTGTTCACAATGGTGGATGTACATGCACCGGCAAAAAAGACATAGTGCCATCTCACATTTATACAGTCAACTTTCTGCTAACCTTTCTCATCAGTTTTACATTTATCTAAATTTAAAACATTTAGTTTGCATCTTCTTGTTGAATCTTATTAATTAAGGACTGTACAACATTTAGCTTTTAGTGTGCTATCATTTATACTTCCACACCCACTCAGAGCCTTGCTGCTACTGTAAATCATGAAACTTTTGCATTGGTTTTCTTTTCATGGTTTTCACAGTGACCTCACCACCTCAAATTCATGACACAACCTCATCACCACAGCAACAGTTTCACGCTTTACAGTACACAGGAAGGTTGGGCTCACCTCCAGTCTGTCAGTGCGAGCAATCTTCGCTGGAAGCACTGCAGGAGCACTGGCCCCAGGCACTAGCGGCACGGCACTTGGAAACGGAACCTCCGTGGGCACCAGCCCCACCGATGAAGGTGCCATCGGGTTCAAGTACGGATTAAAGGCTGCGGCAGCCTGAATGTTGTTGAACTGCGGGGTGGCCTGCTGCGAACAGAAGAACAGAAAGATAAGACTGAGGATGAAGCATGACACTTTTTCATTGGTTAGTACAGGTTTGGGAAATGTAGCTTACTACAAAGGCTCAAGTTCATAGCCGAGCACACCAGGTCACCCCTACTCTTCTCAAGAAGTGTTTTTGTTCTTTTACATACAGACGTTTGACGTCATATACTCCCTCATACATACATGGGACTGCTGGCTTTATGGCCCCATTCAAAATGACAATATGACTCTACATCTTTTCCTGGGCACAAACCCAGGCCGCCCTTGGCTCTGCGCAACTTGAACCAGATGTGCCCGGTATCACGAGTGCACAACCCTCTACATCACGAACAGGAGGCAACTTAAACTACTACCACCTGAAGGTGACAGGGTCAGATTCTTCATCAAACCGGCTTTCTGAAGTCTGATTGTGGCCGACAGAATTTACAGCGGCAGCGCGGGGAATGGCGCTGAACTTTCCCGGGCACCCTGGTGGGGGCTGGAAGGAAGGAGTCCAGATTTACGCACTTCCACACAAAGGGCAAAGGTCAGGTTCTTCATCAGGCTGGATGTGTCTCACCTGACCTGCTGGGGGATTTACTTGATGGTGGGGAGGGCCGACGGGTCATATGGAAGATCGCAAGGTTAAGTTTATATGGCACAGGTCACCGCAGGCTCTAGTTAGGGTCAAAGTTTGATAGGATTACCAGAAGCACCTGGGGTTAGGTGATGGACAGGTTTTCTTGCCATTTCAGTACATTTCAAGTTGTAATGAAAATATTGCCCTGAAATGAAGTTTTGACATGGTTCCATAAGAAATTGATTGATCTAAGAACCATCAAGTTGACTGCCTAAATTTATAAAAATGTAGGAAAAAGAATCAGATATCACATTACATTTTTTGCACCATATCTACATACAAGTTACAATGTTGAGAAGGGAAAAATGGGGCTTCCCCTTTTATATTGATAGAATTTTTTTCAATCAGAATATTAATCAGAATTTGACTTTTAGCGTCATTGTGATACGCTGGTCCATAACTTTTCAATTACTCATCAGAGTCTCGTAGATTAGAGTCTAATGAGTGATTTAGACTTTTTTGTCCATCACAAATGATTGTACCCTTTCTCAATTTTGTTTCACAAAATTCCTTTCACTGCAGATTAACCCTGTTTTGATGTCATGCAAATTGACGTAATTACCTTAAATTGTCAAAAAGATCTGTATAACTGCCTGTTCTAATAACGTTAGGCAAATGGCAGATTCCCTTTTCATAGATAAAGCTCTAGCCTTTGTATACATATTTATAACATTACAGACCACATTTCCGTCTGGGACATGTCCCAGTCTCCGTAAGCAGCGTTTTTCAGGCATGTTAAGGTAATCACGGCACAAAAGACGACAATTGATAATTACTTGGGGAGCACATTAGCCTGATGCTCTCCATCCCTTACACAAGCCCCTACTGTGTACGTTTCAACTTGATTGCGAGCAGACAATGTGACTGTATTCCTCCTGGCTTCATCTTATTTCCTCCATCGATTTCTGTATAATGGGAGGAGGAATTCAAAGGGCGGCCAGTAAAGCCCGAGCTTTAGATGGTGCTGTGGGGCCGTCCGGGCAAAACCCTCCTGATCTGTCTGTCCATATTGTTCGCCGGCTGCGTATTGACCCGGCCTGATTGTGTGGAAATGGGGAAACGTTCGCCACTTTAGCTATTCATCTCGGACCCTAGCCTCCCGCCGCCCGACTCAAATCACACATCGACTCCTATCGATTATGCCTCACCATCCAGGCCGAAATGGACATCTATTCCCGCAAATTTGCTCATTTTTGATGAACAATAAAGATTTTTGGGAGAACTAATCTGGGGATGGCCCCCCGGGACCGGTGCTGAAATGCATTAGGGCCTGCTGGTGAGTAAGAGGAACGATTACAGCTTAGAGGGGAGGGTGATTTGCTAATGAATTCATCAATGCCTGGCTGTGTTAACTACACCGATCTGGGGAGCGAGGCATCATTTTACATTTGTTAGCCGAAATTGGCCAAAATATGGACCCATGCCGTGTTGCTCGTGAGTCATATCATGTAATGGGATGAGATTTGACACAAATGGACCTCGGACGTGTGCGACAGGGGCGTCTAGACAAGTGTCTGTCTGCGCCCGTCTGCCGCAGGTTGGGACAAATCCTCCTCACATGCACGCCTCATGTGGACCGCATTCTACCGACCTCTGCCTAACAGCAGACGTAGGGTCAGGACTGTTTAACATAGTCCTTACAACAAACATTATTCAAGGATGTCACACTATAGTACGTTTCCTGTCACTTCCTGCAGCAGTACTGACAGTTATGCATCAACAACACTTCACACACCACACCCAGCTTTCTCTCAGTTTAGTATAATAAGCAATCAGAATCCAACCATACCAACCATACACAAGAAAACTTCTACTCAAGCAACCGGATGGATTTTGAAAACTGTCAGATATTTCAATTACCATCCACTTTTTGTCAGTAACTAACAGAATCTGTAGTTGAACCTGTCAGGTTATGTCAGGTATTTATCCCAAAACTATGAATTGATTGTGAAGACAATACCAGTAATACAGTAACATCTTCAGTCTTTGTAGTTGTAACTTACAGATGTTATGCTTCTAATGCGCTGTAAGAAGCTTTCTAAGGACATTCCCTCAAGTCTGAATCCAAGGCATCTGATGTTGGATGTTACCATAAGTGATGCATTATGAAGAACTGGGGGTACTCACAGGGGCCTAGATTTGATTGCCGTCATTAAGTAGTTAGAGACCTTCTGTGTCCCCAGTCTAAACTCAGCATCTCTGTCTGCACCTGCTATCCAAAGTCGTTACAACGCCCATCTCTGGATACATGTACTTGTAAACTAGCTGATACAGATAGATCAGTGGCAGTGATGCGTGCGTTTTATTGCAGAACTATCCTTTGGGGGATAGAAATTCTCCAGTGTTTTACACATGGCTATGTGTCAAACCTACCCGAGCGGGCATCTCTTCAAGCTGGCCACTTGGCCATAACAACCACCATTCCCGGTGTATGTTACTGATCATTACCCTATGATAGCTGCAAGAAACCCTAGGAATAGACATGTTGTCCACAATGAAGTCTCAGCCAAATTGCCTCCCTGAAACAGGTGTTGTTTGTATGCAGGACATGTCTGATGTAACCATCCATGCTTTTATCCTCCATGCTTGTAATTGTGCCTATCTGCTGAAACCCTTTCACACTCACTTCACAGGCTAATGCGCTCCTCATCATAGACAGAGACACGCAAATTTCTCCAAAATCTCTCCAAACAGGTGTCAACCGACATGAATTTGTGGAGTTCGTTGACCTCCCCCTTCCCCGACCGTCTGCATCACAGAGCATTAGCAGAAATTTTCCATCCCGGTTGAGAGCTGTACTAGGCAATTGATCACACCTCCATCCCGTAATGGAAGCCACTACATGTGGAGCTGTTTTTGCAGCCGTCAAGGCTGGGGCTTAAATAATGGCGGCATGGCCTTGACATGGTGTCTACATGCGTCCCTGCATTTCGTGTGTGCAAACGACGCCCATCCTGTTGGCCTGTCCATTTTCACCACACTTGGCCTGTTTTGGGGACGCCTGTACTTGATAGGAACACAAACAGCCCTTCCTACTTCACAGCAAAACCCCAACACTATAGTACCAGGAAATGAATCTTATGTTTGTTCAAAAGCTGGTGGAAATTTGCCCCCCTGGCATCGACAGCATGCAGCTTATATTACTTTGTGAATCTCAACCGTCCCGATCTCAGTTCTACCTTTATCAACTAAGCTCAGATACTATGACGAATATGGGAGGATTTAGGACATGTGTCGGCGCCCAAGGCCAGGACAAAATTTATGCTACAGTCCCCTGTTAAAATGTCAATGATACTCGGGTCCATGAATAGAGGTTATACCCCACAGCTGAATAGTTATTGATATTAATGTGTATTCCTGTGACCCAGACATTAAAACATCCCAAAACACGAGAGATGATTCCAGATAGCAAGCCTACATTCTCAGTAGACTACTAAAAATTATTTGCTCCAAGCAAAAATACACAAGAAAGCCCTCTCCATTATTTACTACATGTCCTCCATACCAAGGCCATTGAATCAGGTTAGGCTGTTTGTTTTTGAAAGGGATACATATGTTGTCCTTGTGTCGGCCCCAGATTCGGTGACAATTCCTTTCACTCCAGTTCCACACCAGGGATTCCCTTTGTCCCTTCCATTAGAAACCCATCCGAGGTGTAAAAAAGCGAGGACAGATCGAAACGGAAATGAGCGAATCGTTGTGTAAACCCGCAGCAGGCGGTGACCTCTGATTGCACTTGTTATCTCCTCCTGAGACTGTCATATTTGAAAAATACTCGGGGCTCAAGAATCAAGTGCAGCGATCAAATGTTCTGATTCTACCTTGCAGGCATACATCCACCCTGCTCCATCACTACACATCCAGAATCCCCCAGAACATTCCCATCCCGCCCGAACTCCCTTCATCAAAATCAATATAAAGACTAATGAATATCCCAGACAGCCTACCTCTAACTGAGTCGCACAGGTAAAACACACATTCAGTTTTCCTCCCCCAGCCTATAAAATGCTCGATTTCTCCACATGACACAAAAAAAATCCATTCCAGCAAGAAAGGCATTACACGTTGACGTATAGCATGTAACAGTAATTCCTACCTTCATGTTATACACATAGTATGCCAAGTCCAGCGCCATGGCTGCAAGAATGTCTGTCTCTCAAAAGGTTTTTCCCCAAGTAAACAGCCTTTCCGTCTGCGCGCCTGAATCTGTCAGAGTGAGAGAGCCTGCGATGTGATCACGCCAAGAGTCGGGTAGTAATCTGCCGTCTGGGGACCTAGCTCCCATACAAATGTGCGCTCAGACTACCAATTCCTTGATGATCCCTGCATAATGATGGCCGCTGGAGCTGGGGAGGCAGGGAGA